TTTTTGATCCACCGTACCAAACAAAATTACTATTTTAATGGAGAACGACCAGGCAAACTAATGGCGTTAAGGTTGAAACGCAATGAGGCCTTGGCCTCAATAACTGCCATTAGGGACAATGCAGATGTTCTTCACACAGCTCCGGGTGATTTAAATAGGACATTCAAGGAATTTTATGAGCATCTATACAAATCTGAGGTGGGAGTGAAGAACAACCTGTCATTGATTTTCTGTTAAATTTAGAACTACCCCAATTAAGCGAGCAATGTGCTTTTCTTGATTCTCCAATAGAACTTAATGAATTGAAGGAGGCTTTAGAAGTTATGAATAAGGGAAAGACCCCTGGTCTGGATGGTTTACCCCCAGAGCTGTATCTGGCAATATGGGATTTGATTGGACCGCTCCTCCTTGACTCCATAAATTTTGCTATTGATACGGGTTGTTTCCATCGAGATCAGAACTTATTTCTCTTCTACTGAAAAAAGGGAAAAAACCCTTATGCTGTTCTAGTTACAGGCCGATTTCACTAATTGGTACGGACGTCAAGTTATATGCTAAGGTTCTAGCCCGTCGTTTGGGACCAGTCGCCAGCTTCCTAATCGCCCACGACCAGACAGGATTTCTTAAGGAACGTTTTGCTACAGATAATGTGCGACGCCTTTTGGACATCATTGACTCACCCAACCCGGTTAATGAGCAACGCGCAATCCTCTCACTAGACGCAGAGAAAGCCTTTGACCGGGTCGAGTGGACATATTTATGGTCTGCCTTAACCCGTTTTGGATTTGGCCCTCGTTTTATTCATATGGTTCAGACTCTCTATGGTAACTCTTCTGCACAGGTTTCAACGGGTTTGTGCTGTTCGGAAGCATTCCCGTTGAATAGAGGCACTAGACAGGGTTGCCCTTTATCGCCCCTATTATTTGCAATTTCATTAGAGCCCTTAGCGCAGGCAATTAGGCAGGACCATATTATTTCCCCGATTATTGTTGGCGACTCCAAACATTTTATCTCTCTTTTCGCGGATGATATTCTTCTCTCTACATGTCTAATGTTTCCTCTTCTCTACCTCATGTCTTAAAATATTTAATGACTTCAGCGTCTTAAGTGGTTACAAACTTAATTGGGGAAAATCTGTATTAATGCCCCTGTCTTCGTCAACAAATACTGCATTAGCGTCTTCTTCGATCCCAATTAGTAATACATTTAAATATCTGGGAATTCAGATCTTTCCATCACTTCAAACTATCTCTAAAGAAAATTATAGTTCTTTATTTACTGCTATCAGACGAGATTTACAGAGATGGGACGTTATTTTAGTCTCACTGCAAGGCAGAATTGCAATCATGAAAATGAATATCCTCCCTCGACTTTTATTTCTGTTCTCCATGATTCCTTTATCTCCCCGTATAACCTTTTTTAAAGAGATGAATTCCTTGATTACAAAATTCATTTGGAATAACAAACGACCAAGAATTAAACTCTCAACATTGCAGAGAAGATCTGATAAAGGAGGCTTGTCACTTCCGAACTTAAAATTGTACTTTTGGGCATGTCAGCTCCGCTCGCTCAAGATTTGGTTACAGGTTGACTCGCAGATCGCCTGGCGGGAAGTGGAAGCATCAGCTGTGCTCCCACATCGGCTCCAGGATATTTTATTCACGGGTTTATCAAAGAAAGACCTAAAGTTTGGGAATACAATTGTGTATAATTCTCTTAAAATTTGGCATGAGGTATGCAAATTCATGGGAAGTTCATCTAAGTTCTCATCTGAATCGCCGATCTGGTATAATCATAATTTGCAATCCGACAACAGACCTTTTGTTTTTAAAGGAGCAATGTGTGACTTTTAGCGACATCTAGTGGTTCGGTTGCGAGTTTGCACCAGGTTTGCACTAAGGGCTCAGCCCACTGCTCACCCCTCCCTTTCGAAGAAGCTACGGTTGCTAAAACGGGACAAACATCTCGTCGGCTGAGACAGCAGAGAATAGCCAGAGTAAGCCAAGAGTGTGTAACATTGTCACTGTTTCTGTACCACAGTCCATTATAAACCACATCATGAATACTGTCTGTTTACAAAAGCCATAGTCAGGTGAGGATCAAGGGTTTTAATATATAATTTAATAAAATATATAATCAGCTGATTGTCTCACAAAACGTAACCAGCAGCACATTTATCCCCACATACTGTAGCAAACCCATAATACAGCGAGGGAGCAGCTATATATTTTTTCTAACAGGGTAGTAATAGTTTAGCTGGCTAATATGAGCTGTTGCTGTGGCTGAGCTGGGACGCGTCTGCATGAGTCCAAAGGTCGGAAGTGCGCGCGCTGTTACAATCATGTCATCTCCGCATCCCATAGATACTATTTACTACACACAATAGGCTTTTTTTCTCTGATTTTTAAAATTCTTCGCGATCGACTTTAGTGATAAAAGACTTTAGTAAAAGTCTCTATCGACGGGTTAGTGATTCCTGTAACGTACTGTTTTACGGTCAATGACATGAATACTAATCATCAGCTGTCTCACGAACGTAACAGCACATCTATCCCCAACATAACAAACCCATAACACAGCGAGGGAGAACTAAGTTACATGAAACAATCCCAACTACATATTTTACACCACTCACAAGGCAAAAGTCACTACTCACGGAGTGTAAGGCTAGCTTCCAGCTTTCCGCTACTTCTCTTTCAAGGTAGTGATGAAACGCGTTCTGTAGCACTGTGTGTTCGTGTTCGGCTACGGTAGGAATATGACGTCACAACATGGCGACCTTCATAGAAGGGGATTCCCTCGGTTATGGAGCTATTAATGTCTCATTCTAAGGTAATAAAAACATTACGGCTAATTAAGTAAGTTCTTTATACACCACTGAAAACATAGTTATGGATGTCATATTGCATTTCTGTTAATAGATACTCAACTTTGTTACACATTGCACCTTTAAGCCATGGTCGGATCGAGGTGTACATACTTTTGGTGACATATTCAATAATCAGGGATTAAGGTCTTTTCAAGATCTGACAGAGTGTTATAATCTGCCTGGACATTCCTACTTTCTCTATTTAAGGCTGAGAAGCGCAATGCGCGCTTATGGAGTACCATGGAACTGTAACTTGGACTCCCACCCTCTGATGGACTGTGTGAACTTTTCACAGACACGAGGAGCAGTGTCATTCATTTACAACAGACTGCTCAAGCACAGCTGCGGAAAGCTCCCCATCACCACGATATGGGAAAAGGAATTAGCTCCTTGCAAACCAAATTGGGACTGGATATGGGACACAACTCCAACAATGTCAAAAAATCTTGCCCATCAGTTAATACATTATAAACTGCTTCATAGGGCTTATGCTACTCCAAATATCTTGCACAAAATGAAGCGCTTGCCTACCTCGTTCTGCTCACTCTGTAATTCAAACACTGTGGGTACTTATGAGACTAACAGTATACAGAGTGCTATATTAAAAGTTGAAAGATGGTCATATGAGTGGGGATTTAAGATGTCTGTCGCAAAGTCATGTTACATGATCTTTACCAGGAAGAGAAATATTAATAACACACAGCTTACATTATATGGACAAAATATGGAAAGAGTGAACGAGTTCAAGTATCTAGGTTTGTGGTTTGATTAGAAATGTGTATGGAGAAATCATGTGAAACAGGTCAGAGCACTAAGAATCAGTTTAGGTGCAGTGAAAACAACCCCTAGTAATGCACTGCTGGTAGAAGCTGATGAATTGCCACTGTATTTAAGACGTACTAAGCTATCTTTAGCATATTGGGTCAAGTTAAAAGGATCTGGAGAGGAACAACCTGCAACAAAGGTTCGGTGTGATTGTTGGGAATATACACAACAACGGAAAGGTAAAGGATTTGGCTGGAATATTAATACAGTAGCAGAAGAATAAGGATTAAATAACACAGAATATGGACCAACTACTGTATGGTGAAATGCTCCTCTGTGGATTTTACCGGTACCCAGGGCCAACGTGGACTTAATACTTATAGAGAAGAAGAAAGAATGGAGTAAAAGTAATATAGATAATATTGGATATCTGGTTCAAGACTATATAAAGAGAAAGTATTATAACTATATACTATTATTTATTGATGGTTCAAAAGATCCAGGGACTGATCATGTAGGATCAGGAGCATACATACCTGAGTTTAAAGTAAGTATATGTAAAAGAATTAATGATAAATTATCTGTATATACAGCAGAAATGGTTGCTATTATTTTGGGGTTACAATGGATAGAAGAGGTGCGGCCTGAGAGAGTAGTCATTTGCTCAGACTCCGCTGCAGCCCTGTATAGTTTGAATTCCAAAAAGACAGCAAGAGATGATCTATTGATTGAAATATGCACAATAATGCTGAGAATTCAAAGAACTGGAGTGGATGTGCAATTTGTTTGGGTACCTGCTCATGTTGGTGTTGATGGGAATGAGAAAGCAGATGAGATTGCGAAGTCAGCGTTGAAATTAAAAGATGATGAAATAATGACAGTTCCCTTTGGAAAAGGAGAGGCCAAATCATTAATTAGGAAAGCAGTGAGTGACGTATGGCAGAAGAAGTGGGACACAGACAATAAAGGGAGACACTATTACAGTATACAGAAATCAATTAAGGTGAAGAGCTTCAAAGGGAAATGTAGAAGAGATGAAGTGGTGTTTTCAAGATTAAGGCTTGGACATTCATGGGTTAAAATCAATGCTTTATTTAATGTCAAAATGTTTGATAAATGTGAGGCTTGTAATGTTCCTGAAAATGTTGAGCATGTCATCATGAAGTGTAGTAAATATAATTCTGAGAGAAACATTTTACAAGACAAGATATACAGTATGAATTAGGCCGGGGATGGAATTTAGCAGGGATTTTAGGGATGAGTGAGGAAACAAGGGAGTGCTGCAAAGCTCTCTTTAATTTTCTCAAAGATACAGGATTAGATCATAAAATATAGTTGCTGTTTTTTTTTTTTGTTTGTTTGTTTGTTTTTTTACTTATAACCTGTAACCTGTATTAAAACCCTGATATTGCACACTCCGGCACAGTAGGTGGCGGTATGCACCTGTACAAGTTGGTTGCGATCCGCCATAAAACCCAGAGAAGAAGAAGAAGAAGAAGAAGGAAAATTCGCTGCCGGTCATGTGTGATTAGCAGGCGAATGAGAGTCTTTGGGAGTTGAAAGCGCGTTGCCGGAGAGACATGTAAACGTAACTTTGCAGCAACTTAACTTTGAACCGAGACTTTTACGAAAAAGAAAATTAGAGAAAGAAATGAAAATAAGACGAGTTAGATGGCTTGAATGAGATGTTTAAACCCCGATCTTGATAGGTTATTTTGTCTGCTGGTCTAATTTGGTCTGGCCGGTGTCGTCGTGGTTTCTTGATGAGTTTCTAGACGAACGCGCCCAAGAGGTTTAGAAAAGCGCGCGAACAGGAACACTCTCTTGCTGTTTTAGATAGAGGCACGAAATTAACAGTTAAAAGACTAGGCTGAACACGAACGAACTTAACAAACTGAACATGATGTCTTGCTCCTTTGTTCGGGTCTTTAACTTAAAAGTTAGTCCAACCTCCTGGAAAAATTCTGACCAATGGGAAAATGGCATAATTTTGGGAGGTGGATCTATTTCTTGCTTATCACTATCTTGTGATCTGTGAGCTTCTCGCTTTACAAGAGACCACATTTTAAACATTATAGATTTATAAGAATACAAAACATTTTACACAGATTTCAATCAAGCCGTCTTTTCAATTAAGAGCGTACGATTCTTTTGATAGTAAACACAAGGCATTCACACTTCTAAGAGTTGTATAACAATTACAAGAGTTAATAGTTAACAACAATTGCATGATTAATATGTGATCTAAGCATAACAACCACAACACATGAACTGCAGAAAGCAATAAGAATTATGATGTTTGGTTATAAGTCCAAGAATTGTTCTGTGTGAGTTTTAATTTGATGTGTGAGATCTCAGATCTCAACAGTGAGGTCACTGTGTTAGAAAAAGAAAAGATCTGTGTGACATCTCTGTCCAGGATCAAAGGGTGGCCCCCTTCCTGTGGCGTTCTGTTGTTATCTGCAGGGCCACAAAAAGTCTTCTGAGGGGGGGTTTATTGTCCCCCAAAGCAGACCTTTTGGAGCCATCCAGTCAATGGAATGTGAGCACCAGGCTCTGGAGAGCTGGATCACATTTGAATTAATCCCATGAGAGATGAATTTGATGAAGTTGTGTTTGATTCGCCTCAATTCGTTACAACTGCTAAAAAGTGGTCAAAAAGAGCAGCTGTGCAGTCTTGTGGAGAGCTCTGATGACGTTCCCAAGAGGAAAAAACGACCAGTGTGTCTCAGCAGCTATGATGAAGGTATGAACCTGAGCATGTGAAATAAGTTATATAATAAACAATTAAAGTAATTCTAAAAATTCTTTTTAAAGATACTTCTGCAGTACCTCACCCCAAAAAGAAACGCCAGGTGAACTGTACAACAACTGGTACGCCTTTCTTAGTTTTAATTCTTTTACTTTACCACTTGTGTACATTTTCATATTAAAAAAAGTGTTTGGGGGTTTCCAGAATACCAAAATATCATTGGTTGATGGATACCAATACCAGTACATTTCATAGTTTTTCTTTTGTTCCTATTTTTAGTAATTAACGTCTAATTTACAGTGGGACCTCAGCTGCCATTTCCCCCAGCATTTAAAGCAACCAAACAAACCACACTAACGCCATCAAGACCTGATGAGCATCACATTCTTGATGCATCATTAAGACCAGCGCCTCCTAGAGACATCCAGAACAAGAATGGTAAATGCGAAACATAATTTGAAACTTGGTTTTTACCTTTATTTGAATGAATCAATATCGATTCTCCCAGATCACCTCCTGAGCCTACTCACTCAGAGAATCATCAGCATGGAGAGTGAGATGAAGGTGATGAGGAGCTCAACAGCAGCCCTGTATGAACTCTATGCTCGTGCCCTGGGTGATGGGACTAGTCAGCAAGTGGAGGAGATGAGTCTTGATGTGTGTGGCACCATGGAGGAACTCCTCTCTCTCGATGAGAAAAATGGAAGAGGAGACATTTCGGAATAGAGTGGTATGTTAATAGTGAACTCTCTGTGAAATGCAAAAAAAGGGTTAGAATTAAGTTAAATAACAAAAGTTATTGCCATTTTGAAAATGTATTCCATCTTGTAGATACACCATTTAAGTCTTGTTGGAGGTCCAAACCCTGGGGAAAACACCCGACGGGTGATGCGTGCACTGGCCTCCTACAGTGTCTGTAAAGCCAAGTTCACACTACAGGATTTTAAGCCCGATTTATGCCCGATTTGCAAATCGTTGAGCTCGCCGACAGGTCAGGGTGTTATCGCGTGCAAATCGAGGGGGATTAGCAGACGATGAACGCTTGCCAATCTGTTAGTATGAAAGAGCCAACAACGCAGCGAAAACGCTCGCAGACGCGTCGCCCGAGCCCAGAATCTCAGTGATGTCATGAGTACAGCCAAAGCAACGCATGGGTTGAGGACACCAGGTAAATCTTAGTTTTTATATTTTTTTGCATTTTTTTCTCAGAGCAGATCGTTGCGCAAACAGTGTTTCTGTCTGACGTCCATATTCACGTGTTGTGTTCTCTTCTTTGCTGGGTATAGGCGCACGTGCTGATTCGCGTCATTTCTGGTTCGTTTTATTGCTGGTTTTTCATGACAAAACGTGGTTTGTAGACAAGATAGAATCGTTGGGTGACAGAGTTGTTGTCAACGCGTTATTTATTTGATTATTTTCATGATTTAGACCGTACCATAGTACTGAAACAGCTCTCATTAGAGTCAAAAATGATTTGCTCTTATCATCCGAGTAGTGAGTTACCTCCTGTTGTGGATCAATCACGTTGTGTTGTGTGGTGTGAACAGCTAAACAACTTGAACACTCCTGATTTCACTGAGAGCAAGTCATGTAGTGTGAACCGCACAGTTCAGCCTGACGTTTTAAAATCATGTAGTGTGAACAAGGCTTAAGGAGTTTAGTCACAAAGGGAAGAAAGGGAAGAGACCACTACAAGACCTGAACATTATGAAGATCATAAAAAGTAAGTGCAATATGTTAGGGACTCAAAAAACCTGTATTGCCAACGATACAGTACTGTTTACCAGTACTAAAACCACTGCATTATCATGGAACTTAATATTACAGAGGAGGTGATGATGTCCAATCCTAGAATCCTGCAAGCAACAGTGGAGGACATTGTGGCAGACACAGTTAAGCATGCTCCAGCAAGGTGTAGGAATGTAAGCTCCTTTGGTGCAGTTTTCTGTAAAACAGTTATTATCATTATATTCTAATTATATCATTTAAAGGGACACTTCACCCATTTGCATTAAGCTTTGTATCTTTAGAAACCCAGTCATATTTTTGAATGGTCATGGTTTATTCACCTATTTTCTTTTAAAAATAAGGATTTAAGTGTTTTACTTCCTGCTTATTGTGACGTAAAAATCGTCATTTTGCGTCATGATAAGCAGGAAGTCACATTTCACTGAAATGACAGAGACTACAAACTTGTGTGTGGGGTGTGTTGTGTGTTTCTGTGTATGTCTGTATGTAAAATTAGGTAGAAAGTTAGGTATTGTGTATTGGCATTTAGATACAATGTTATCCCACTGGTTACTATTGTTACAGTTGACATGTTTCTGAGTTCTATGAACACATTAAACAAAGTCAGTCTTTGATCTCCCAGGTGTCTGATCCACTGCGAGAACCAAGATCTGTCCGGCATGCCTGTGCTTTTTTCACTCCTCACTGCAGCCGCCTACTCTCGCATACATTTCAGGCAAGGTTAAGGTTAGTCTAGTTGATTGATTCTTGAGGCACGTGTGTGACACAAGATGCATGTGGTGCTACACACAGGTAACACACTGAATGTTATTATTTTAAATGCTGATTAAATGTAGCCGCAGAGTTTTTGTTTTTTACTTGGTAGCCTATTTCGGTCGTTGCTGCGACTAACACGGTCCTTTGATGTTAGGTCCTCACAACAAACCAGTTTGGTCACTGAGACGTAATCATCACGTTCTTGCGACATACCACTATAACGTTGCCACGACGATTATGGGAATCACAAAAGGCTTGTTTGAGATGCGCCTTGCCTCGCCTGAAATGTATGCGAGAGTAGGCGGCTGCAGTGTGAGGAGGAGAGAAAAAAGCGCCGGCAAGCCGGACAGATCTCGGTACTCGCAGTGGATCAAACACCTGTGAGATGAAAGACTGGTATCGCAGAATTCACGCTTGTGCACGTGTTGCTAATAAACTGGATGTAATTTAAGCTCTGTTACTTTTATATGAAAATACATATAATTAACAAGACGCCAAAAGTACTTGATTATTTAATTACATTTAATCCAAATATGTGTTTATCAATCATTTTTTCTTTAATACATACATGTTTTTATATATTGTTTTAATAAAAATGACATCACATATTAACCCATATGGCACTGTCAGAGTTTATTCACCCATATGTATACACATAAAACATGATGTCAGTTTTAAAATCAAACATTTTAAAAGAGACCAATACATCAAGGTTGTTTAAACCAATGAGCATTAAGCTGTGTCGTCAGCAAGTCGTTTCCCATTGTGCTTCTGATCAGCGCAGTCGGTGGAGAGCAACTGCGCGAGACTGCACAATCCTTGCGCTCGCGAAAGTTTTTTGACATACGTCGGCATGACATCAGAGCTAGGCGGACCACTCTCGGACACATTTCTAACCGGCATGCATCTCGCGCTGATCACCGGTGATCGTTTCTGCGCAGATTTTGCTCATCTCAAACAAGCCTAAAGTTACTCCGCTGGAACGTTATGTGGTACGTCGCTGCGACTAACACGGTCCTTTGATGTTACGTCCTCACAACATACCAGTTTGGTCATTGAGACATAATCATCACGTTCTTGCGTACCAATATAACGTCGCCACGTCGTTGGAACGTTATGTGGAATGTCGCTATACGTCGAATATGGGGTGGTCCGGTTACGTCTTCACAACGTAACTGTGTTAAGCCTTGTTCACACTACATGATTTTAAAACGTTGGCCGAAACTGTGCGGTTCACACTACATGACGTGCTCTCTGTGAAATAAGGAGTGTTCAAGTTGTTGAGCTGTTCACACCACACAACACAACATGATTGATCCGCAACAGGACGTAACGCACTACACAAGCTGACAACAACTTTGTCACCCAACGATTCTATCTTGTCTACAAACTACGTTTTGTCACGAAAAATCGTAAACGACTTTTGCTTCAGTTTGAAAAACCCCGGAATGTTCTCCATAACAGAGCGAATTGCATCCCGTGTCTTGTTTTCTGCGGTCGTTTCGGTTTTCGATTTCTCTGACCGACAATGTAAAACTCGGCGCTTAGCGTCTACGTCAAGGCTCTCAGCCCGCCCTCTGTTCGTTGATTGGCCGGCTGGTTTCAGGCCGGTGGAAAACTGAAAGATAAGCTGCTATCTCAGACGGACTACAGGAGCGAAATAAAATTAGCGGAAGTAGGAAGTCTGACGTAGTCAGGCTAGAAGCTGTCAGTCACCACTGGAATCTTTTTTTCAGAGACTTAGGCATTAGTGTGAATTGTCAGTATGTGATTTTGCATTAGATGTTTTATAAAACAAACAATCATTCAGTTCATTTGTTGTTTATTCAGAATAAGGTGATGTACCTTATTAGTTGCAGAGGATCCTTCCATGAGATAACAACTCTGCCATAGTAGCATCCAACTTAAGGGTTGTCAGTGGCTGGTGAAAAAAATCTTAGGTGGGGCTGTATCATATTTGGCATTTTCAATAGTCTGGTAACCATGGGACTTTTAGCATTGTGGCATGCTCTTCTTCTAGACATTCTTAAAAATCTGAATATTACTCTTCAGCTCACAATCTTTAAAGGTTCCATGACATGCTTATATTTGTACGCTTTTATGTTGGCCTCTGCCTTGTTATGGATATTGTAGGAGATTAATGTAAGTAACCTCAGATTATTACTTTCTGCCCTCTTTTAGGTAAAGGTTTATTTATTTATTTTTCTTAACCTATTGTAAAGCGACAAAGGTGTTGAAAAGGCTATATAATAAGCAATTCTTATTATAATTAATAACCACCCAAATACAATTTAAGGATACCAGTGCTCTGTGAAAAAGTAATTATTTAATGCCAATATTAAAAGGTTGAGGCATTCTTGCACAAAAACAAACATATTGCACAAACTTTCCATTTGAAATTGAACTCAAACAATATACTTAGTGATTACTTAATTAGATGATTAAATTAAAAAAAGTATTAACCACAACAATTTTGAGTGATTTTTCAAGCAAATATTCCGCATGTACAGTAAATAAGGCTTGTCCTGACTTTCGTAGTGGTGCGCATGAGCACGGGAGTGTGTTTAACTGGGTTAAACACAGTGCGAATGGCCCTAAACAGTAAAATAAAATTAAACATCAAAAGTCATTAAAATATTATTTATTAAAATAAGAAAACATATGGAACCATTTGTATGTGCCATTTACTCAGAATCTGCAACTAGAATGGTGTTACTAAATAGTATCAATAAGGACTTTTTTTTAATCCGTGACAACCACAAATGCACATAATTATTTAAAAACATTTATTCAAAGCACTGACATTCTAAACCAGAAAGCAAGAGAATTTTGAATTTTCTAGAAAAAAAACAAAAAACAATTGCAAGTTCCACAAACACTTATTGACAGGAAAACAGCGTATTTGCAGATAATAATAATAATAATAATAATAATAATAATATTATATATGTATATATATATATATATATATATATACACACACACACACACACACCACAACATAAGCAATCTACGATTGGTTTAGGATATTTTGTCAAGTACAAGCTGATTCAAATGGCATTTAATAATTCATGACAGTGTTTCACATTAACACAGGGCCTGGTTCATGCTATTTCTGTCCATTTTAGACATAATAGTCAGTTGGTCATATGGTAATTTATCAGAAATCATGAGTCAAGTTGCTTCAATGTATACATGTGTTAGCATAATTTCCAGAGAAAACAAACATTAGTATCTATGTCGTTTGTTGATCGGCCCATCAAAGTTTCCCCCAACTGGACTTCCTCTCCCAAAGCCACTTTGGCCAACTACACCAGGAACAGGACCTGCCCCAACCACCATGGATGAGTGCTGCTGCTGCTGAGGGGAGTCAACACCAGTCCGCCCACCCACGGGAGAACCCATCGGAAGACCTCCTCCTTCGGAAAACCGCTCATTATGCTGAATATAAAAAAATAGGCATATTTGTAGCAAGCAATTGTTTGAATATGATGCCATTTTACATTAACCATATAATATTTTAGTTGTTGCATAAACAAGTTGTCCAAAAATAAGCAAAAATGTCAACCACCCCAACAACAAATCCTCTGTACTCTCTCTAAAGCTGGAGAGTAAGGGGATCAACAGATAACGCATGATTTACGATGAGAGCTGAAGGAAATATCACCTCTCAAATAATGACAGTGTCTAATTGGTCCGAACTCATCCAGGAGGCTGGACAAACATTTTAGTTTAAAATCTTAGACCAAATCTTAGAAACAAAGCCTTAGAGTTATGCTAGAGTTACATTATGCCGTCATGATGACAGAAAAACCAGATAGACAAGTAACCATAGACAAAAGAACCCAAACAAGATCAGAAGAACATGGGTTCAAACAGCTTCATTCAAAGCCATCTAACTACTCGTCTCACTTTTCTTTCTGTCCTTAGCTTTATCTTTCTTTTCCGTTGCGAGTCCCAATTCTAAGTTAAGTTTTGCTGCAAATTTTCATTTAAACGACTCGACTGCAAAACCCGCTTCAAACTTCCAAAGACTTTTATCCATTGCCAACACACCACGTGATTGGCCGCCCAGAGAAATCTATCCAGGCACGACACAGACTGATCTCATGAAGTAGCATGTGTATGACACGCCAATTCGCATTTCCATTTTTGGCGTGCTATCAAGACGCATAATCGCTTTTCAGCGTGTTTATGCAGGCCGTTGACTTGACGTTATTACTGTATATATAAATATATGACTTACCTCAACCCCGTCCCTAAACCTAACCGTCACTGGGGTTAATGGCATTTATGACTGGACATTTGACGGTGTGTACAGGCACGCGGAATCACTCGGACGTTAATGGCGTAGACATACATGCATACACGCGGATACACACGGGGATAGCTCAAAATGTGTAGAGATAACTGTATGTTTACGCAAAAGTCATGATGTCATGTTGCACGAGAAGACCGCCAGCCAAGCAACGGACCCGGTGAAACACCCTTTTATGCTAACAAAAAGGAATCCCCAAAGCAAAACAAACGCAAGCAAGTATACCTCCAGACTCTTAGCTGAACTGGTGCATTGAGATAAAATTGAATAACCTGCCTAAGGAACAATAGAAGGGTTAAATTAATGATTGATGGTTCATTCAGGTCATGTCCTAAAAGTGCATATAGAAACTTGGGATTTCACCATCTCACTCTTAAAACTTCTTTCCTCGCTCTCTTTCTTTCTGCAACTCGTATGAATGTGTGTGTGCGTGTGATTGTGTTAGATATTAGTTCTATGCGTTAGATAATCAATAAAGTCCTTTTTATATTTTAAAGAGAATTGTTCTTGTGTTATGTGGTTACAGATTTAATGTCTTAAACTGCTGATCTAAGAACCCTTGTTAATAAATAGTGTTTCACTATAGTTTGGATATTTATATCTGCTGCAGAGGTTATAGTTATGGCCCGTTCGAATGAACACTGGACGAGTCATTTGCTCGGCCATATAAGTGATTCTGTTAAGATTCCCTATAAATTAATTGACAATTCCTTTTGAGCAAAATTGGCCTGCCTGGCCCCTTAAATACATATTATTATATATTATTATACGTAAGTTGTCTTACAGCAGGTTGAGAAAATTATTACAAATCAGATTCCAACATCGATGAGGAAGGTTTTTGATATTGCAATTTTTTTTTGTTTGTGGGATTATGGCATAGGGTTTATGGCATAATCTGATTTGTGACTGGATCAGAATGGCATGCTATATTGGATTTTCAGAGGATGACGATATGCAGATGGGTTGGGAAAGGAGTACAAGTAGGAAAGGTGGAGGGAGAAAAGAAAATAGAAATAGTCAGTTGATAAATAAAAGAGCATTAGAAGAGGATGAAGAAGGCAGAGAAGCTAGGAAAAATATTCTGATGGAAGAATTTAAGATCATTCTTAAATTTAAAGTAGGGCATGAAATCACATCAGTTAGCCCAATCACTGTGACGACTGGATTGAAGAAAGCAATTGGGGGAAATAGAAATGGCGTAGGTGTTGGGTGATTGAAGTCTATTGGTGAAATGCAAAAATGCTGAGCAGAAAAATAAAACTATGCAACTGCAATCAGTGTGTAAAAAAAGAAATAGTGGAAAAAAGAATAATTGGTGAGAAGAGAGGAGCTAAGAGAGTGATAACGGGAATTTCCATAGATGAGAATTTGGAAGAACTAAGAAAAGTGATGAAAGGAGGAATGATCACAGAAACGAAACGAATGCAGGCCTTCAGGAATGGGAAAAAACTGATAGTGAGTAAGTACTTCTACAGTTTAAAGACGAGGTGCTTCCTATGAAAGTGATGCTATATGAGCTTTAATGTCAGAGAAGTTGTACGTCCTCCATTAATATGTTACAAATGTCAGCGATATGGACATATGCAAATGTATGTAAAGGGAAACAGAGAAGTGGAAGATATGGCGGAGGAACAGAATTTGGGAACAATGTTACAAGTAAAGGAGTAGTTCACTTTAAAAAAAAACTTTTGCTGATAAGTTACTCACCCCCATGTCATCCAAGATGTCCATGTCTTTCTTTCTTCAGTCGAAAAGAAATTAGGTTTTCATGCTTTTATCACGTACAGATTAGATTACTGTAATTCTTTGTATTTGGGGCTGCCTAAAAAGCTCCTTTCACGGCTGCAACTGGTGCGGCGGCAAGATTGTTGACTGGCACCAGGAAATGGTCTAGTATCTCTCCGGTGTTGGCTTCTCTGCATTGGCTTCCCGTTGAGTATGTGCAATTCAAGATCCTTTTAATGGTGTTTAAAAGTCTACATGGGCTCGCCCCTGTTTATATTTCGAGTCTGTTACAGCAGTATGTTGTGGCTAGACCACTTAGATCTTCGCAAAGCTTTCCTTTAAATGTACCAAGAGCTCGGTTGAAAACCAAGGGAGATCGTGCTTTCGAGGTAGCAGCACCGCGTCTTTGGAATACTCTACCTTTACACATTAGATCTTGTGATTCCATCGAGTGTTTTAAGTCTAGATCAAAGACCTATCTTTTCTCAGCTGCTTTTAACTGTTCTTAGTTATATGTGTATTTGTCTAATTGTTGTGTACAGTTGGGTCTGTAAAGAACTTTAGTCAACTCGTGTTGTTTTTAAATGTGCTCTAGAAATAAATATGATTTGATTTAAGGTTTTGGATGAAAACATTCCAGGATTTTTCTCCATATAATGCACTTTACTGGTAACCAAACGGTTCAAGGTCCGAAAGACAGTTTCAGTGCAAACTGCTCAAAGACTGCTCAATGAATAAGGGTCTTATCAAGCAAAACGATTGCTCATTTAAAAAAACAACAACAAAGTTTAAGTTTTATAAGCTCAAATGGTCGCCTTGCTTTGTTCTGTGATGCGCGTTTGTGACTCTCCTGTTCGAACTTGTTTATCAAAATGAATGAATCTTTTCCCGAGTCAATTTGTTCATTTCGTTCGTTGAATTAACCAAATGACACGAAAAAAGATTTGTTCATTTTGATAATCTTTAGGAAGATGCATGCCATTAGATCGAGTATGTGTTCTGATCTGTTTGTCTTGTCTGCTGTTTGGTCTTGCACGTTGGATGTTCCCATCTTGTTTTTGGAGTCCTTCCTAGGGAACGCCAGGTGGCGTCCCTTTGAGGTGTTTGCCATGTGTTTGTTTAGTCTGGTCTGTAGTGAGCACATGGCACAAGGAAATAACATGACAGCCATGTGCTCACATGGCTGCACATGGCTGTCATGTTATTTCCTTGTGCCATGTGCTCTCGTCAATTGCCGCCCATCTGATCATCTCATTATTGGTTAATTTTCCCAACCTGCTTGCCTCATTACCTTACAGTATGTTTGTTCTCCTATTTAATCTCCCTGTGTTTGCAGTCCTGTGCTGGTGGTGGTAATGCACCATAATGCTGGTTGCCATCCGCCATTAAAGGGGAAATGAAGCAGTGAATCAAGTTTACATGATTTACAAGATGGATTTCCAATATAATAAACAATTATATAAGGAACATTACAAATGTAAACATTTAGAAGAAAAAAAGAAAAAACTTTGTATCTTTCGCCGCCAGGGCGCCGCCATTGTGCAGGTGACGTCACGGGGTTGGTTGGCTCAAGTTTAACAGGCTCTGGGCATTGAAAATCGCGACATCAAACTGTGTTTATACCAGTGTTTTGACCGCGAACGACTAATGTTAGGTACAGATATTAGACAAAAAGACGACGTCTCATGTTATATGTTGACAAACTGCACATAGAAACATTGTTCGCGATGTCTGCCGTCAGATATTCCCGTCTCGTCAATAACATGTAAGTTAGCACGTTTTGGTAAAGGGGAAATGAAACGTCCATATTTTCGCACTGGTAGTGCTAGTAACGTTAGCTACAGCCTACATATACTAGGAAAAAGTGTCTCCGCTCTGACATCCATCAGGGAAAGCATCGCCGCTTCCACACGTCTAACTCCCGGCACAGCACACGTGCTCACGATCAACCTCTTGACAACAGATGGACTCTGACACGGAGGGCATCGCAGGACAACAGGCACACTGACACCTGGTAAGTTAGCGTTGCAAACCCGCTCTCCGCACCAAACCACCACTGACTGTTCTACACAGCAACGTAACTTACATGGTGTTGACGAGACGGGAATATCTGACGGCAGACATCGCGAACAATGTTTCTATGTGCAGTTTGTCAACATATAACATGAGACGTCGTCTTTTTGTCTAATACCTGTACCTAACATTAGTCATTTGCGGTCAAAACACTGGTATAAACACAGTTTGATGTCGCGATTTTCAATGCCTAGAGCCTGTTAAACTTAAGCCAACCAACCCCGTGACGTCACCTGCACAATGGCGGCGCCCTGGCGGCGAAAGATACAAAGTTTTTTTCTTTTTTTCTTCTAAATGTTTACATTTGTAATGTTTCTTATATAATTGTTGATTATATTGGAAATCCATCTTGTAAATCATGTAAACTTCATTTCACCGCTTCATTTCCCCTTTAAATGTAACAAAGAAGAAAAAGAAGAGTCCTGTGCTGGTTCATTGTCCATGTTTCCCTCGTATTTTCTGTGCCTGCCTCTGAGTTCTCTTTTGTTTCCCCCATGGGGTTGCTTTGTTTGTAGTTTTGTTTTGTTTACTTAATAAATATCCTTACGCACACTTGTATCCACGCTTCCTGTTTTACCCATTCCGTGACACATACTGAATCGTGACTTCAACACCAAAGTACATACCGAACCGTCATTTTGTGTACCGTTATATCCCCAGTTATAACATGGCTGACAATACACGCTACACTAAATAAAGGCTGAGATGGTATTGCTATATACAAAGAAATGCCTGCATTCACTATAGTTTTGTAATCCTGCACAAATTATAAAAAAAACCTCAAAGAATAATAATAAAAAGTGTACAATTATTGTTCTCAAATCTACAATTATTTTTCTTCAATCCACAAATCCCCTACATACAGTATGCCCTACAGCTTTACATCTGTAATACTGTATACTGTGACATCATAAAATAAAAACGTTATCAAATAGCACAAACTACAAATATAGATGCCAAACATAAATACATTACCATTACTCCGTTATCTGGAATCAGGTGTGTCCCCATATTTGATGATCCCTCAGGCCCCATGGCTACTCGGCCTGCTATGCCCATCATTTGTGAGGGGCCTTGGTTACCGCTAACCGCAGCAACAGGGTTAAATGAATCTACGTAAGACAATGTACAGTTGACATTCACTGAGAGGGCTAAAAGATTTCATGAAACTAAAAATACATTAAGATATGTTGTAATCTATGGATCTGAGACACCTTACATAAAAAAAAAAATAAAAAATAAAAAAAAGTATTATTTGGGACTGTACATTACTTTGCTGCCATTAATACACTAAAAAACAAGAAAGATGAATAAGATTAGAAAAGTCAAAATATAACAAAAAAAATTGCACGGCAAATGTAGAAATCAAGTGTGATGTCGTTTGTAGCCGCAAATCAAAAAGTATTACACAATAGCAAGACGAAAGACAAAGATAAAAAAATAATTTAAGAAAACATTCTGAAGGCATTTTCACACCAAACACAATGTGAAACAGTGATAACGCACAAAGTACATTTGTATTATTTAAAGGAGAACTCCGGTGCAAAATGAACCTTTGGTCTAATAAAACATCGGTACCTAGAAAACCGTTCTCTGAGATTTGTTTTCATGATAATCGAATGTAAAGATTTTTATCTCTAAAAACTGTTTAGCGTATAATGACCCTACTACTGGGGTCATTTACTAAGTAAAAAGAAATCGCTAGTTTATAACACTAACAAGGCTCAAAATAGCCCCACACTAATGCAGTAACACAACGAGGGTCCCTGCATGCAAAACGAAGCATTGAGAACTTTGTAAGTGTACAGACCATTTAATAAGAAGATAATTTATATCTTCTTAATAAGTGAACAAGATAGTTCACTTCGTGTTACAGACAGGAGCCATCTTAGAAAATAGTCTCGATAAGTCGATCCCCGAACGCCGTTCATACAGTTCAGAAGTTCGCTGAACTTCATACAGTTCAGATCACTCAGCACGTCGTTCGTGGTTTGACTTGTCGTGACTGTTTTCCAAAGATGGCGCCGCCTGTATACACGAAGTGAACTGTCTTAATAAAGTATCTTCTTATAAAACGGTCTGTACACTTACAAAGTTCTCAATGCTTGGTTTTGCATGTAGGGACCCCCATTATGTTACTGTGTTAGTGTGGGGCTATTTTGAGCCTTGTTAGTGGTATAGCGATTTCTTTTTACTTAGTAAATGCACTAAGTAAATCTTTTTACTTATTAAAATAAATAAAACAGGAAATACATTTTCCAGGTTAACAAACCAGAAAAGGACACTTTAGTAAAAAGAGGCAAACGCCACGCTCCAACATTTAAATGCCTGTGGAAGTGATGGACAGCCCCAAAAATTTAATCAAATATAAAAGACGCCTCACACAGCTGTTTCCAATTGCATGTGGAGTCTCAATATGATCATACCTCCCATATTAATGGCTCCACGGGTACCCATTTCATTCATTCTCGAATCCTGTTCTCTCTGAAAGTGAAGGAAAAGTTTTGAATAAGCCTCAGTCCACAAAACTAAGAACTTAGTTTTAGTACACGCAAGCAGCATACATATCATATTGTACACAACCAGAATGTGTTTGCAGTTGCGGTGGGAAATGCATGTCCGCTTTAAGTGCTGCCATAACCATAGATTTTTTCAAGTTATGGGGTGGACGTATCATCTTATTTTTGCAAGTAGCAGTTAATTGCACTAGTGGAGATTACAAGAAAAAACAAAACAAAACTATATACTGTGTGTGTGTATATATATATATATATATATGATTTTTTAAAATCCCAAATTTAGTAATAAAATCATTTGTTGTTTAGAACAGGAAATGTCAAAATTGTGTTTAATCTATATTTACTTTTTCATAGACTGCATGTGATTTATAAACCAGTAGGCTACAAATATCTGTATTTTGTATTTTGTCCAGGATGAGGATTAACATTGGTCCAGCTTTCGCTTCGCTTGCTGGACGGAGGAGGAAGGGTGCCCGATCGATGCTGGCGCTTGCCTGCACACAAATGCCGTTTCCAAGGTGACCCAGATAAATTCATATAAGCAGTGTAGTATTTTCTGGTATTCCGGCCACAGCCGATGGTGTTATGAGTGTAATAAAATGCCCAGTGTTCATTGCTACACACAAACACAGCCCACCTCAGTGCAGGGCTTGCACAAATGAAATCGACTCATGTCAAAGGTAACGTTACATCAAATGTTGTGAACGTGCCCACGACTCAGTAGTTCCCACAAACACTACACACCACATGTCCCACGGTTTCTGTAAAAATAAACCAACACGCATACAGTCCGCTAAGGCCGACGGTGTTTTCAGTGCAGTAAATGTGCCCACTGTTCCGCGCCAAAATTCACTCACAGACATGATAAGCCTCACGGGACTCACCCCACTCGCTCTCTCTCAGAAGACTGCTATAAGGCAATCGAGCGCGGCAAGGCTGCCCGGCCTGCCTCAAACACTGCAAGCATGATTTGTGGAAATGATTTTACACATCACAAATGTAAAAATACACATTTGCAGATAGTGAAATATTTGTGCATCATTGAACACTGTGGTGAGCAGGACGGCCGAGGGACGTGAGAGAAAGTCGCGAGCACACCGGTCTCGCATCTCTCACGAAGGAGCGGAGCCATAAAGGGGGAGCGACGGAGTGGATGATCGAGAGAGGAACAGGCCTGCTTTTGTTTGTGTTTTATATTTTATTTGGTAAGCCAGCAGTCGTCCGCGAGGGGCTGCTGGCCGGTATTTTATATTTTATTTTCGGAAGCCAGCAGTCGTCCGTGAGGGGCTGCTGGCAGGTATTTTGTTTGTTTATTTTATTTAAATAAAGTTTTATTTTATTATTATTATCCGGTTCCTGCCTCCTTCTTCCCTGAACTTTGTTACAAACACATTTGTAGATTGTCTTCTGTGGGTTACAAATATTCAAAAAAGCTGGTGGCACTGCCACCCTTGTGCCTTTAGGGTTATTGTGCACAATGTGCAAAAAATGTAACCCTGCTTTGACTGTCAAAAAGAAGTGTGCTGTAGAGCTTGCATCAGTGTGGGCTGCAAAAGTGCGCATCAAGGACACATATCAACCCCAAGCATGTACAGAGAAGTCCAAATTAAACATGATTCAATGACTCGTAAATGTAAGTACACATTAATGGCCTGAGACACGAAACGAGCGGTTTGTGTGAGAAAACAAACAGTATTTATAGTAATTCAACTTTTTTTTTATTGTTTAACAATCAAAACCTCAGAGTACATCACATTATTTAGTAATCACCTTTGCAATTACATACTCAGCCACTAGTCCCCATCAGTGGAATACAACCAAAACAAAAGCACATGAAAATTAAACAATTATTAAGCAGTCCTATTATTAAGCTGCTGTCTCCTGCCCTGCTTCATCGAGCTGCTGTTACATCTCCACTGCTGTCATCTGCTCTTCTACACCCAGCGACTATTCCACCTCTTCTGCTGCCTCCTGCCCTGCTCCACTCAGCTGCTTTTCCATCTCCGCTGCTGCCTCCTGCTTGACTGAAGTACCCAACGGTGGTTATTTTAGCATGGAGAAGGTGAGCGCAGAGCTCAGAAGATTGTGCCCTGGCAAGTCAGCTGGGCCAGATGGAATACCACCGAGGCTTCTGAAGGACTGTGCTGCGGAGTTGTCGTTTCCTCTGCACACACTCTTTAACTGGAGCCTCCAGAAGAGTCAGGTGCCAAAGCAGTGGAAGACATTCTGCATTGTGCCAGTGCCTAAGGGTGGGAGACCTTCCGGGATCAAGGATTACAGACCATTGGCCTTGACGTCTGTGATTATGAAGACCCTAGAAAGTTCCTCCTCTTGTTCCTAGGGCCTCAACTACAGCAGGCACTTGACCCCCTGCAGTTTGCCTATCAAGCGAACATGGGAGTGGAGGATGCAGCTGTCCTCTACTTGCTTCATCAAACTCTCTCTTTTCTCGATGGGACAGGGGGGTATGTGAGGCTGATGTTTTTTGATTTCTCGAGCACATTCAACACCATCCAGCCCCAGATCCTGAGAGGCAAACTCGAGAATCTTAGCATGGAGCCTGCTCTCATTGAGTGGACCATCAGTTATCTGACAGAGCCGCCACAGGACGTCAGACTGGGGAACACGCCCTCAGACTCTGTGAAAACAAGTAAGTTTGTTATGGCCGCCATAAGACTGCACAATGGACCTGCTTGAAGTGCATTAAACCTACTAATAATGATAGTAGTAGCTTGTTTGTTTATCTTTTATTAACTGTTATTATTTGTGTTTTTTATGCGTGTATTGTAGTGTAAGACTGGAAAACTGGTTAAAGAGAAAATATCTGACCAGTGGCCTCTAAAGACAATGGAAAAATTAACATTTGACACCCCTACCCCATCCTCTGAGCTACATCTCTCTCTCTCTCTCTCTCTCTCAGTCAGTAACACTGAAATCTCACACAAGAATATATATGATTTTAATGTGAATGTGATAGTTTTAAGGATTGTTTAGTATCATTTTGAAGGTCTCAGGGCGACTGGTAATAATGTCTCATTTCCAATGAAGTAAAAGAAAAGGTAATAAGGTTTTTAAGAAGTTTAGGAATAACGAAGGAATGTGGTTTCTAGTCACTCCAAATGTGTAAATGCTAATTTCCACTGTTTTAAGCAGATGCTCGTCTCCTTTCCCCAGTAAGCATGGTGGGGGAATGCAGTAACTTTCCACTAAACTCATGTTTTAAGGTTTTAAGGTCTGGCTACATAAGGAAAATGCAACAGGAGTTCACGGCTGTTGTCTGTTTTCAGATCAGTCCGTGAGGCTGGGAGTTCTGAGTATTTGGAAGTTTTCTTCCAAATAACACGTGCTGAGTGAATGATCAGGAGGCAGTCAACAGAAGTGCTCTCTCTCTCTCTCTCTCTCTCTCTCGTCAGTTAACGTTAATAACAAGCTAGATGACTCGTATTCATTTTCTTTGCCATTGACATCCGACTGAACAACAAACTTTCCACTGATGTCTATTTGAAGGGATGCGCTCGACAAGCTCGCGCATCTGTGCTGCTGCGTGCTCAATCCACTGCGCGTTTCCAGTGCTCACGCACCACAGCTAAGTTATGTTTTACTTTATAAAACAGTTAGTTCAAATCCTTGATTCTGATTGGTTAAGAACTGTGCTTTATTCACGATAAAACACGGCTATGACCGCTTCACCCAACGGTTCTATTGATCGTTGCGCAACACTCCGGTTCTATGTTGTTTTTATTTGAGCTTTCATGCATTTTACACATTGGAACGTTGTTGCTGTTCACGCTCAGGGACTTTTTTTCTAGCGGAAGGATGGCTTTTAGTGATTTTACTTCAAGAAAGTTGCACTAATACATTGTTTGTTACTTTAATTTTGTGTGGCAACCGTTTTATAAAAGCAATAAGGTACTCGAGGCAAGTGCTGTATCGTGAATAAGTAACGGCTGAAGGGGTTGCAGGCACGACGAGAAACGCCCTTTAGCCGTTACTTATTCACGATACAGCACAGCCTCTCGTACCTTATTGCTTAAATATTGCATTTAATATTCCACTAATAAGACACGTTTACTTAATCGACAGCCTTATTTTTTATCCCCATTCTACCTTCTGTTGTTTCTTTGTCTGGACACACAGACTGTGTATGCTACCTGGTATGCCTATCGGTTGTTGGTATCGGAGCATGAGCCCATTTAACACTGTAAGTTTGGTAGAAAATAGAAGCAAGTGGCAAATCAACTGAGGTAAAAAGCCGGTAAATGTTGGCGTCGCTGATAGGCATCAACCACGGAACTCACACAGTTTACTTGGTATACGTCATTGCTTGCTATCAACTCCGACTCACTCGGGTCCTCTTATCACCGTATACATTTTTAAATATGCTAGATAAAACATGGACTGAGACACAAATATTTAGCAAAAAATGGAAACTATATGTTGAGGTGGTGATGAAAAATGTACTACCAAGTCAAATTGCATTTGTTACTTTTTACTACCTTTCGAAGGCCTTACTTTTGGTAGATTCTTTTTACTACCTTTTACTACACCCAGCAAAAGTGGATTGTTTGGGCTCCTTGCCATATAAAAATATGAAAACCCCTGATATAGAAAATCCTGCCAATTCATTGGCAATAAATAAACATTTACTTTTGATTGTTTAACCCTCTGGGGTCTGATGTGTTTTCTGGGCCCTGGAGGTGTTCTGACATTTGTGCTTTTTTCTGTTTCTGTTGTAACATTTTCATGGCTAAAGTCTGATTACATTGTATTCAGCACAAACTCTGCTACAATAATATGTTTTTAAAAATGTTGTTTTGAGAAAATTACATTGTGTGTTTTGTGAAAAAAAAAATCACTTAAATAAGGCCATAAAACCCATACTGACTATTTGTTCACCAGACTTTTGAAAATTGTATCACTTAGTCTAGAGTTTTTGTATCGAAAAGATTTATAAATCATCCTGCCCACTCATTCACATAAAACAATCTATTGATTAGAAAATTTGTAAGACTGTTTGGATTTGTTGACTGTTTGATTGCTTGGATTTATTTACAACACAACATAGTCCTAAGATACGAAAGACAAAAAGGTACATTATTGAGCACACTGATCTAAACAGTCACACACCTTTTTGCCCATTTCAAAGGTGTTTGCTTCATTTTACCATGTTCATGTACAGAGACTCATGTGAATACATTTAAGTCAGCAGGGCTCATCAGTGTCATCTGGTCCCTGTATTATATAAAAAAAGAAAAGACAACTTTGAACATGCAGATATCAGGATATATACACTCACCGGCCACTTTATTAGGTACACCTGTCCAACTGCTCGTTAACACTTAATTTCTAAGCAGCCAATCACATGGCGGCAACTCGGTGCATTTAGGCATGTAGACATGGTCAAGACAATCTCCTGCAGTTCAAACCGAGCATCAGTATGGGGAAGAAAGGTGATTTGAGTGACTTTGAACGTGGCATGATTGTTGGTGCCAGAAGGGCTGGTCTGAGTATTTCAGAAACTGCTAATCTACTGGGATTTTCACGCACAACCATCTCTAGGGTTTACAGAGAATGGTCCGAAAAAGAAAAAACATCCAGTGAGCGGCAGTTCTGTGGGCGGAAATGCCTTGTTGATGCCAGAGGTCAGAGGAGAATGGCCAGACTGGTTCGAGCTGATAGAAGGGCAACAGTGACTCAAATAACCACCCGTTACAACCAAGGTGGGCAGAAGAGCATCTCTGAACGCACAGTACGTCGAACTTTGAGGCAGATGGGCTACAGCAGCAGAAGACCACACCGGGTGCCACTCCTTTCAGCTAAGAACAGGAAACTGAGGCTACAATTTGCATAAGCTCATCGAAATTGGACAATAGAAGATTGGAAAAACGTTGCCTGGTCTGATGAGTCTCGATTTCTGCTGCGACATTCGGATGGTAGGGTCAGAATTTGGCGTCTACAACATGAAAGCATGGATCCATCCTGCCTTGTATCAACGGTTCAGGCTGGTGGTGGTGGTGTCATGGTGTGGGGAATATTTTCTTGGCACTCTTTGGGCCCCTTGGTACCAATTGAGCATCGTTGCAACGCCACAGCCTACCTGAGTATTGTTGCTGACCATGTCCATCCCTTTATGACCACAATGTACCCAACTTCTGATGGCTACTTTCAGCAGGATAATGCGCCATGTCATAAAGCTGGAATCATCTCAGACTGGTTTCTTGAACATGACAATGAGTTCGCTGTACTCAAATGGCCTCCACAGTCACCAGATCTCAACCCAATAGAGCAGGGTCTCTCGGTGGATGTGGTGGAACGGTGAGATTCGAAGCATCTTGCTCAGGTGTGATGTGGAGCCAGACAGTGGCCCTCCAGGAAGATCTGAACGGCAACTGTCTGATGCCATCATGTCAATATGGACCAAACTCCCTGAGGAATGCTTCCAGCACCTTGTTGAATCTATGCCACGAAGAATTGAGGCAGTTCTGAAGGCAAAAGGGGGTCCAACCCGTTACTAGCATGGGGTACCTAATAAAGTGGCCGGTGAGTGTAGATATAAAATATACAAATTTAGAGAGAGAGAGAGAGAGAGAGAGAGAGAGAGAGAGAGAAATATATATAATATACCTGTTTTACTCATATACTTGTAGGGCTGCATAAAATATTAATCATTTTTACTTGCAGGCAACACTTCAGTAACACTACACTAGAGAAACATATATGGATTATCATTCTTATCATTATCATTATCAAATGTTATCACGTTATGAAATTAGATTGGAGTAAAAACATATGTAGCCTAATGTTTGGCGCGTTTTGCTTTCAAATGTACAGCGCGAGTGACCCAAAATTACAATGCTTTACATTCTCATAAACATCTTCGTTTGAATAGATATCCACGAACACAGCATTTACAGTAAACAAAGGTCTAAACATTATAATATTCATCATGTTAGCGTAAACACTCATACTAGCCTAATTTTATATCATGCTGTGTTTTATATTATCAAGCTTAAAATATCCTTGTGTCATATATGTATATTTATTTAACATTGAAAGGTTGCGTACCTGTCTATAGTTCATATTTCAACATGTTTCCGTCCATTTCAAACATTTTAGTATGACACCAGTTCAGCTAGTACAATGTGAAGTTTATGCAACAATAACACGCTAACTATTATAATTGTTAATGCATTTCTTACCTTAAAAATCATATCTTCAAATCGCATACTACTTCTTCTGGGGTAAATCCAGTGTAAACACACAGTGTGTCTTCCAAACTCGATTAAAAGCAGAGGTTTGATGAAGTCTGATGCTTTGTTTTGAGGTAATGAGGGCGTTTACAGGTTCACGTTCCTCCATGTGGATAATTTGCATGTGAATTGCTTGTGCGCGCGTGTGTGGTCACATCAGAGGTAATGAGCAGGCGCTTGAAAAACTGTACATTTTGTTACTTTCATACAGATTACTTAAACAGAGAATATTTGTTTTTTATATGATTTACATCTAAAAATAGACATTTCAAGCTTTCTAAAAACAAATCTCTCATATCTGGGTGGTAAGTATTTGCTGAGATACAGTACATTTTCTGTCGCGTTTCAGAATGAATTTACACTGAGAGATACGGCAGAATGCACATCATTTTTATTTTCTTTATTTTTACGAAATGCAGAACATTGTTTTTTTTTATTATGAATTTAGTTATTTACTATGTACACAAATAAAAGTACACATTTAACAGTTTTGAATGATGTATAAAACTTGCCTGTATGACAAAAATAGACAGAGCTGTTTGAGTGTCTTTTGCACTGATAAGAAGAAAAAAACGAGATCACACCAGTGCAACCACCGACCCCTGGGGTTTAATGCTGTCCTCAGCCAAATAACTGACCATACAAAATTACATTACGTTTGTCTCAAGCCATTTCAGTGTAACTGCTTAATTTTTTCCTATTATATTATATTATAATAAAAAACGTAACTGTTCTTGGTAGAGACTGATACACATCACATTAAAAATGTTTTCTCAGGTAACCTCAAATGTTCTTCATTTAGTAGCTTCTGAATTAACTCCACTGTTAATGTCCACCCCTTAATAATTAAAAAAAAAATATAGAAAAAAAAGGGAACATTGTTGTGACCATTTTAGTCATAGTCTGGAGCCCTGCTAAAAGAAATACAACATCAGAATGAAAGTGAATCATTTTGCCTGTACTCACACTCTCCATGCAACTGGGCTTGAATCCATCTGGTTGGCGTCTCATGTCAAGGTGCTCTCTATGACGCATCATATCTTCCTCACGTCTACGTCTCTCTTCTTCATGCCTAAGCACATATAACTCAAATTCAGTTAAACTGCACATACTCAGATCTACCATCTGATAAACCAAAACTTGAATATTACAAGGAGTAAAGCACAAAGCTTTGCTTGAAAAATAAATATGTTAGCAATGAAATGTTACATCAGAACCATGAAAACATTTAACTTCATGCCAAATGAGAAAAGCACACAAGCCTATACATATTTATCTGTTAGCCTTGCATTCTGTTTTCTGATGTCACTCGATTTTCCACAAATTTAACAATATTACATGAGTTATTCCACTGGACATGGAATCTCGTTTCTTTTCTCAAATCTTCACTCATGCTTCACTCATCTTAATTACTATATTTGCATCTGTTACTGTGGTAAAGTAGAAAAGTACTGGGTAACACTTTATAATAACTGCACGCTATTAATCATTAGTTAAGCATGAGCAAACAGTTAATTCATCATTTATAAAACATTAATCGACATTAATAAGCAGTTTATAAATACAGCTTTAAATGCTTTCTTCTTGATTTATAAGAATATCTATAATGCGTTTAATAATTGTATTTTCATACTTTGTTACTGATCAATTAATAATTTCTAAATGAGGTATAGCAATATTTACAAACCAGTTGTTTAAGAGTTGTCAGTCATTCATAAGATGACTTAGAAAGTGTAAGTAAATGTAGTAAATACAGGTAGTTATAAAGCATTTAGTAATGGTCAGTTAACTATTTTTGTGAGCTCATCTAAAGTGAGGACTATTCATTCCTTGTAAAGCATTTATAAAGGCGATTTAAAGACTCGTCAATCTTCTAAACAGTAAAATGTAACAAACACAACACAGTGATACAGAACATAGAAATATTTAAAAGCCTTTAAATCTCCTTTATAAATGCTTTACAAGGCATGAAATAGCCATCACTTTAGATGAGCTCACGAAGTTTATAACTACCCGAATTAACCCTGAATTACAGCATAAATACATGTTAATAAAGCATTTATTAACACACTAAGTAACCATCACTATATGTCTGAATAATAAGATGTATGAATGTACATTTAAATAGTTTATCGATCATTTACTTACACGCTCTAAGTAATCTTACGAACCACTGATAACTCTCAAATAAGTGGTTCATAAAAAATGCAATTCTTCATTTAGAAATGATAAATTGATCATTAATCAATGATCAAGGATGAAAATACAATTATTAAACAAATTATAGATATAGCTTTTAAATCAAGAAGAAAGCATTTATAGCCGTATTTATAAACTGCTTATTAATGTCTATTAATGCTTTATGAATGATGAATTAACTGCTTACTCATATTTAAAGGGTTAGTTCACCCAAAAATGAAAATTCTGTCAGTATTTACTCACCCTCATGTTGTTCCAACCCCGTAAGACCTTCGTTCATCTTCGGAACACAAATTAAGATATTTAAGATATTAAGATCACTCCTGCATACTAATCCATAGGCTTCTTGAGGGAATGACAATTGATGGCCTCGAAAAGTCATTAAAGACATCGTTAAAATAGTCCAAGTGACTACAGTGGCTCAATCTTAAGTTTATCAAACGACGAGAACACTATTTGTGTGCAAAAAACAATAAAAATAACGACTTTATTTCAAGTATTCGTTTATTTCTCTCTCTGCCTCGAGTCAGGTTACTAGTTTAATAGCGTAAGCTTCTGTTATTGTACGTCACACGCATCACACACATGACCAGCGTCGGCCAATAGTGAGCCTACGTGTGACGTAGCTCTACGCTATCACACTACGTTAACAGACTACAGGCCCATGATAGAGAAGGAAGAAAATATTTGAAATAAAGTCATTATTTTTGTTTGTTTTGGCGCACAAAAATTATTCTCGTCGTTTGATAAACTTAAGATTGAGCCACTGTAATCACTTGGTCTATTTTAACGATGTCTTTAAAGGACAACTCCTTTAACCTTTGGTCTAATTACACATTGTTACCTAGTCAACCGTTATCTGAGATTTGTTTACATGATTGCCGAATGTAAATAGTTTTATCTCTAAAAACAGTTTAACCTATAACGCTAGTATAATGCTAGTATATAGGGCATAGGGCAAAATCGCTTGTTATTACCACTAACAAGGCTCAAAATAGCCCCACAGTAACACGGTAGCATAATAAGGGTCCCTACATTCAAACCGAAGCATTGAGAACTTTGTCAGTGTCCAAACAGTTTAATAAGAAGATATTTTATTCACACAGTCAACTTCGCGAATACAGGAAGAAGCCATCTTTGAAAAATAGTCTCTACCAGTCGATCTACGAACACCGATCCATGTGCGCTGGTGAGATGTGAATAAGGTGATAAGGTGAGCGCGAACAGTAGGCTACGTGTACATACATGTTCTTCCTGTATTCGCGAAGTTGACTGTGTGTATAAAATATCTTCTTATTGAACTGTTTGGACACTGACAAAGTTCTCAATGCTTCGGTTTGTATGTAGGGACCCTTATTATGCTATCGTGTTAGTGTGGGGCTATTTTGAGCCTTGTTAGTGGTAATAACAAGCGATTTTTATTTGTCATTACTCTATGCCCTATATACTAGCATTATACTAGCGTTATAGGCTAAACTGTTTTTAGAGATAAAAATATTTACATTCAGCAATCATGAAAACAAATCTCAGATAACGGTTGAATAGCTAACAATGTGTAATTAGACCAAAGGTTCATTTTGCGCCGGAGTTGTCCTTTAATGACCTTTAGAGACCATCAAGTGTCATTCCCTCAAGAAGCCTATTGACTAGTATGCAGGAGCGATCTTAATATCTTAAATATCTTAATTTGTGTTCCGAAGATGAACGAAGGTCTTACGGGGTTGGAACAACATGAGGGTGAGTAAATACTGACAGAATTTTCAGTTTTGGGTGAACTAACCCTTTAACTCATGATTATTAGCGTGTAGTTATTATAAAGTGTTACCATTTTTAGTCATACCTAGAAACAAATCCTGGTCAAACAGGTTATATGGGCCATTGTGTAGAATTGGTTCAAAGTTGAGAGTTGGAAACATCTTGAAAAGAAAATCATTTTTCCATATACTGTAAAGTATTATTTTTAAAGTAGGCCAATACATTTTATCATACATATTCCAAAGTTAAGGATTCATAGGGATGGGAATTGATAAGATTTTATCGATATCGATGCCACTAACGATTCTGCTTATCGATCCGATTCTTTAACGATTCTCTTATCGATTCCTGATAGCACTGTGTGGGAAAAAGTAGTCATATGCTTTTTTGGGGGAAAGAAACAATTGGTTTTATTTGTTTTAAACCTTACACTTGACTAAGTAAACTGTACTTTTGATGTAATTTATATAATAAATGAAACCTTATGAGTTCAGTTCAGTGTTGAGTTCAGTTCAGTGTTGGGAGATCAGTTCAGTTGTTTTAACCATTCATTAAAACGAATCGGTTCAAATGAGTCATTAGTTCGCGAATTGAACGTGTCATTATCAGACGTGTGCGCGTTCCGACACAAGATGTGTGTCATCACAGAAAACATTTCATCTTTTGGTCGTTTTTTTCCGTTTATTTGAAGTGTGGTTTATGTCAGCTAAATGTGCGGACCGCTTTTCAGAGAAGATAAGGCAACGTAGACCTATTTCAGCACAATTCACACCCAGCGGTAATTCAGGAAAAACAAAACTCCGAATGCTACACATGAAACTTTAGTCTCCCGACCTTACTATTGTGTCGATTATTTTGATTAATATGTGCGAGGGAGAAAGAGAGAGCAAGACAGCGCTTAGTTTTGAGCAGTGAAGCCAGAGAGAGATGCGCGCGCGCACGACCGGGGCTCTCTCTCTCCCTGCTCGTTCAGTTTAACACGAGCCCTGTCACGAGCGCAGCGGTTCATAACTACAGAGAGAGACAATTTTACCGGTACTCATCGATCAAATAAGGCTTTGGTGGTACAAAAAAAAAATCGCTTTGGACGCCGTGCTGGTGCTTAATAAAGGACAAAGGGACAGTTGTTAGTTCACTGTCTGAAGCCTACATACTGGTTGACTCAGAGCAGGAGCATCGATAAGAGGAATCGTTAACGTCGAGCGCATACAATATCGATGGATCGTAAAATTTAGAACCGGTTCTCGAGTGGAACCGGTTTTCGATTCCCATCCCTAAGGATTCATTATTTTGATATGTGCATTGCATTAGCTTGCATCGGATAACAGTTGATTAGTTTATTTCTGACAAAACATACTATATATTTAATATGCAGAAACTGTCTAACTAAAGCTTATTTGATGTCTATTTTATAGTAAAAACTTTATAATCTATTTTGTCTGTAACAGTAGGCTATGCATCTGTGCGTTTGTTCGTTCACACACCCAGAAACCCGATTCATATTTAAACCATCAACGTTAAATGATTGTTTATTCCTTATGCATTTCCAATATTTTCTTTAGCAAACTTTTTTATGGCAATGAGCCCTAAACAACACCCTATAGTGAGATTCTTTATTTAGGCTTATAATTTAATAAAATATAGGCCTAATATAACCTAAACAATATCTTTGTGAGATTCTTTATTTAGGTTTATAATATAATACAATATAGGCCTAATATAATATAATATAATACAATATAACATAATATAATATAATTATAATATAATATAATAAAATAATATAAAAAAAAAGAATTGAATTATTTGAAGTGATATAATATATCAGTTTAAATGCTTCAGTTTGTTTCTGTTACATGTGTGTCCTGTGGTTCCCCATTCTTTGTGTATTTGGTTCAGTCCTGTTTCTAGTTTCCCGCTCCTCGTTTGTATTCAGTCCCTTCACCTGTGTTTGGTTAATTTGCCCCAGCTGTGCCTTGTTCCCCTAGTCTGTTCTAGTGTATTTAAACCCTGTGTTCTCCTCACTCCTGGTCCGTTCTCGTTGATGTATAGTGTGGTTACTGTTTCCCTGGATTATTTGATTAAATTCCTGTTGACCGGTTCTCCTTGTCTCCTTGTGCTTCCTGGGCACCACACTACCGTAACAGAAGAACGGACCTAAGATGCAGTATGGATCCCACAGACTTACTCCTCAACCTTACCCAGAATCATCGCTCTATTGAGATCTACGTCGAGGAATTCCTCCACCTTGCCCACCAGGTGTCCTGGAAGGAGAGTGCCCTCAAGCACTCCTTCTGGATGGGTCTGGACGATCCACTCTTTAGGCAATTCCCAGCTATTGCCACCACTTGTTCCTTGAGTAAATATATTGATAACATCCTGTGGGTGAGTGGATCGTCCTACACCATCGAGGAAGTTTTCCCAGATCTCCCTTCTGTTCCTGTCTCCCCACTGTTTCCAGTGTCTCGTCCCACCGAGACCGCCCAGGGTCCAGAGCCTCGTCCTGCAGAGACCGTCCAGTCCGAGAGCGTCCAGCCTGAGCCCGATGCCTGCCCGCCAGCGCCTGAGCCCGTGGCCTGCCCGCCAGCGCCTGAGCCCGTGGCCTGCCCGCCAGCGCCTGAGCCCGTTGCCTGCCCGCCAGCGCCTGAGCCCGTTGCCTGCCCGCCAGCGCCTGAGGCCGTTGCCTGCCCGCCAGCGCCTGAGCCCGATGCCTGCCCGCCAGCGCCTGAGCCCGATGCCTGCCCGCCAGCGCCTGAGCCCGATGCCTGCCCGCCAGCGCCTGAGCCCGTGGCCTGCCCGCCAGCGCCTGAGCCCGTGGCCTGCCCGCCAGCGCCTGAGCCCGTTGCCTGCCCGCCAGCGCCTGAGCCCGTTGCCTGCCCGCCAGCGCCTGAGCCCGTTGCCTGCCCGCCAGCGCCTGAGCCCGTTGCCTGCCCGCCAGCGCCTGAGCCCGATGCCTGCCCGCCAGCGCCTGAGCCCGTGGCCTGCCCGCCAGCGCCTGAGCCCGTGGCCTGCCCGCCAGCGCCTGAGCCCGTGGCCTGCCCGCCAGCGCCTGAGCCCGTTGCCTGCCCGCCAGCGCCTGAACCAGGTTCTACTTTTCCCGAGCTGGAGTCTCGTACCGCCGAGCCCGAGCTCCACGCCAGCCCTGCCGAGCCCAAGCTCCACGCCAGCCCTGCCGAGCCTCCACTGGTCCCGTCCAGTCCCGAACCCACTCTGCTGGTCCCGTCCAGTCCCGAGCCTATCCCAGAGTATGCTCCTGAGCCTGTAACTCTCCCCAAGAAAATTTTGGGGGGGGGGGATATAGGACTCCATGGTTGCCATGGCCACCTGAGAAAAATGATCCACCCTGGGCCCCTGCGCTACCTGATCCACCCTGGGCCCTGGCGCTACCGGCTCCGCACTGGCCACGCCCTCAGCCTGCTCCGCCCTGGCCACGCCCTCAGCCTGCTCCGCCCTGGCCACGCCCTCAGCCTGCTCCGCCCTGGCCACGCCCACGTCCTGCTCCGCCCTGGCCACGTCCACGTCCTGCTCCGCCCTGGAGGCTTCCTGCTCTGGATAGGCCTCGCCCTGGTCAGCCTCCAGGGCGCCCACCCCCCCACCCCATTGAAGTTCTACGGCGCGAGGCCGCGCCTTTTTGGGAGGGGGCGTAATGTTACATGTGTGTCCTGTGGTTCCCCAAATCTGTTTGTATTTGGTTCAGTCCTGTTTCTAGTTTCCCGCTCCTCGTTTGTATTCAGTCCCTTCACCTGTGTTTGGTTAATTTGCCCCAGCTGTGCCTTGTTCCCCTAGTCTGTTCTAGTGTATTTAAACCCTGTGTTCTCCTCACTCCTGGTCCGTTCTCGTTGATGTATAGTGTGGTTACTGTTTCCCTGGATTATTTGATTAAATTCCTGTTGACCAATTCTCCTTGTCTCCTTGTGCTTCCTGGGCACCACACTACCGTAACAGTTTCCATATTATAATAATATATTATGTAAACAAATTGAATCATTTAAATAGATCTAATAACTAAATATTTTCAAGAAAAGTGAATATGTGAACTCTTTTATAGTAATCTAACCATGCCTGAAACTCCCCCAAACACAGACATCTTCACCGTTCTGTGTCCATCAACCACCACTTTAATCAAACCACTCTTCTTTATTTAAAGATATTTAAGATATTAAGAACGAGAAATTTGACATTATGATGTGAAATAAAATCACATCATAATGTCAAATTTCTCGTTGCCTCTCATATTGAGCTAGTTTGTCCGCACACACGACTCACTGCCAATCACACGTGCTGACATCATTCTCTTTCTATGAAAGCTGTAAACTGCATTCACCAGTTTTCACTCTATAGCGGTTGACAACAGCACTGAAATTATTTCTCTCTTAAACTACAATCAAATGGATTTCCCCACACATTTCGCGTCAATACTCTGTGGCATTTTATTATTTTCTGCGCGGCTTCAGAAGCGCAGCTTAGAGGGAACATTGATCGCGATTAGAACAAAGCACAAGAATAAAACATTTACAAAATTCTCAGCTCCTTGCTCCTCAAAGTGAAAATAAACCAGCACTTGTTCTAAGGTAAATGGCCCATGGATTATTTCTCACAGCCTCTGAGTATCTGACTAAATATAATGTGTTTACTGAGTTTATGCGTTTACAGCAGTGTTTCTCAAACTTTTTCAGCCCAAGGACCACTTTATCTTCCATTTTTTTTTTCTGAGGACCACCTAACAAACCCCCCCCCCCCCCCCAACCCCCCCCCCCCCCACACACACACACACACAAAAAAAAAGTAGTAAGGATAAGCTAAATTTAAGTTTAAATTTAACTCCTAACTGAGCTTTGACTGATATAGGCTTTTCATTTTTCTGTCACTGAAGAAAGTAAACATAGGGTCAACTGATATAGGTTGATTTTGCCTATGAATAATTTTTTTATTTACTGAAAGCTAAAGCTTGGTAATTAAGTTTATTAACCCTTTCACACGTAAGTTTAAAATATTCTAACTGACCCCCCAGCGTGAGTTTTTCAAGGCGACCGTTATTTAGAACTTGCCACTTTAATGTTTCCATGGTGACGCGTCTTTGCTTGTCACGTGACACAGCACAACCAAAACACGGCGCTGAATGAAGGATGACCTGCTTTTGTGTCATTTTTCCTTTTTTGTTAAAAATATTCATAAATGTATTAGCTATAACATGAAACACTGATATTCCGATTGTCAAATATGTGCAAGTGGATGGGTTTGACATGGTTTAAACATCTTTATAACGATCGCGTTAGTTGAGCTTTTAGATCTTTTTCAGTTCAGAGAATCAGATCTGTTGGATTTACAACGTCAATTCCTCCACTTTTCACGAAATACATGATAGTAAGTGGCTGGTGAACTGGGAGAAGAATAGGGTCAAATGTAAAGCTACTTACACAATGTGTATCTGATATGAATAAAACGTGTTGTCTTATTATAACTGAAAAGATTATTGCCGCTTCCATAGACATCAGTGTGTATTTTACAAACTCAAAATCATTGTTTTGCTAGTGCTTATGTGTATTTAAATGTCTGAAACCTAAAATAAACATTGAAAACACTCAATAGTTGAGTTATATAACAGCTCTGAGTGCGTCCGTCTCTGGCTTAGCGCCAGCCAGCGTGCGAGAGCAAGTTTGAATTTAGCAGTTGCTGACGTGAAGCACTGAACATTCTAATCACACCGGTGTGATCGTATGCTCCAGGGATCAGCCAAGAAGACTGATCACACTGGTACGTGCGAAAAAGTGACGATTTTGTAAACACTTGCCTAGTTTAGGTCATCTTTTCGCGGACCACTAGGGGGCGATGGCGGACCACTAGTGGTCCGCGGACCACACTTTGAGAATTACTGGTTTAGAGGAAAGGTGTGTCCACGACATGTTTACGTAATGCTGAGATCATAAGCTTCCCAATGATGCGTAGTTCGTCATCATCCGTCGTTGATAACATATCATGTGGATCGTATGAAAACAATGACTTATTTCCTGCATTACTGGACTAAATGAGACATAACGGGGGATTATTTATTAAGCGAAACTCACATGAAGGTGAAAATGGATTCATTTTGAAGAAAACAGTCTAAGGGGAAAGTCTTTGTATATTTTTGACTAATTTTAGCTCAGACATGCTGTAATCGGAGACGAAATGCAACGCTTTTCCAAATTTGGTTACAAATATCAAAGATGTACTTCGTGAATAATTCTGCAATCATTTGATCTGTTGTATTATGTCAAATAAATAAACCATATAGCAAAAATCCTGGGAAAGAAAGGTTTTGTTTGATATATGACTTGCCTTTGTTCATCAAATTTGACCAATGCCATCAATATTCATATTCATAATCACACTTACTTTTGATCGGTATTTCAGTTGCGGGTGGAGGAATTTAAGCATTTAAATGATGCAATATGTAAAATGAATTAAAAAATAATGGTTTTGTGTGAAAACTAGAGGGTCTAAGCTTTGTAATGATCTCAAAAATAGTTAAAAGTTAAAAAAATAAAAGCACACCTCATCTCAACCTGCTTGCGTTTCTGCAACTCCTGATTCCTGAGCTCCTCCAAGCGTCGCAGTTCCTCCTGACGTCTCATGAGATCTGTTGGTATAAGACCACAAATATTTACAATGACAAAGTTAAGAATATAAGTACTGTTCCCTGAAGGAGAGAAATGGGACAACACACTAGTTGTGGGAGAGTCATTGTGTACTCATGTATGTTGTCCTCATAAGTAACTATTTAGTATAGATGCCTTTTCAAGCAAAAAAAACAACAAACCATTATATCGAAATACAGGGTTCCTACACATTTTCCGTTTAAAAATTCTAAACCTCTGTAGATTTTCAGACCGTATTTAAAGTGCCCCTATTATGCTTTTTTGGATATTCCCTTTCATGCAATGTGTAATGCAGCTTTCTGCAAAGTTATGAAAATGAAAAAGCACACATTAAATAAAGTTATTGTTTCGACTCTGAACCACCTAAACGAATCGTCAGGAATTTGAATCTTCTGTGATGGCTACACATCACTGGGTAACACATTTGCCTAATGCCCACAACTATATTATGCAGTTTCACGTTAATTTTACATCAGTAACATTAACATCAACTCACGTTAATGTTACATCAGTCATTCAGCTAACATATGCACTTTTATATACAGTTCATCCATGCACCGCAACAAATTAGAAATATTGGTTTGTTGATAGACATATATTTGTTAACGCTGATGGTAAGGAATTACAGCTGCAACATCTCATAATGTTCCTCAAACTGAGTAGTGTATGTGAAACACTGAGTCCTGCTCGAGTCGTCCTCGCGATGGAGATTCATATTGAATAACTACTCACTCCAATGTTTCATCATCAGATTGATTTGGTAAAATCAACGTCATAGTTACTGTCTTTACAGTGTGTTATCACTGAGGAAGCCTCCGGAGCTGAAGTTCAGTTATAGTAATGGGTGTTTAGCTTTCGACAAGCGCTTTAAGCGGTCGACCAATCACACTAGACTGGGCTGTCTGGCCAATCAGAGCAGAGCAGGCTCGTGGCAAGAGGGGATTTAAAGAGACTGAATCATTAGACAATTTGTTTGACAATCATTGAAAAATGTGGTGATGTACAATGCATATTATGAGAAAATGTTTTTAAGACTTTTTTAATTCATATATTTTGCTGTAGTGTCAGTAGGAAATATCAGTTTACATTTCCAAACATTTATTTTGCCATTATAATAATCCAGTGAGTTATGCATAAGGAGTATGACAACAGCCAGTATGCTCCGCACAGAGATCTGATCTCACCATCATCGCGTCCATCTGCGATTACATGAAGAAACAGAACAAAGTACTAAATCCAGAAGAACAGCCGCAACGTCTCCAAGACTCTTGAAGAAATCTTCCTGAAAAGCTATGTGCAAGTGTACCTGGACAACAGCTGTTTTAACCGCAAAGGGTGGTCACACCAAATATTGATTTGATTCACTTTATAGAAGCTAATTGATAAATAAAAACGGTTCAAAACGGTAGAAAATGACATTAATTTGAAAGCATCCTCACTTTACAGTGCCTAAAATGTTTTGCAGTACTGTAGCTTTGCAGGAAGGTTTCAAGCATATTGGAGACCTCGCTGCATTTCTTCTGGATTTAGTCTGTCTCAGTTTTTTTCTGTTTATTCATGTAATCACAGACAGGCTCGGAGAGAGGCATGGAGAGATCAGATCATACTCATACCGGCTCGTCACTCCTTGTGCAAAGAAAGAAATCTCAATGGATTATTACTATTAATGGCAAAATGAATGTTTGGAAATGCAAGCTGACACAATAGAGCAAAAATATAAATAACTGTCTTACAGTTATTTTTAGGGGGTTGAAAATACTAAAGTGCCAAAGACTTTTGCACAGTAGTGTGTGTGTGTATATATATATAGACTTTATATATATACATAGACTTTATAGACTTTTGCACAGTAGTATAAATATACAGACTTTTGCACAAGAGTGTATTCAGATTTTTGCATGCACACGAGAAAACTTTATCGTGCACTTGAGAAACTATTCACATGCGCACAGGATTTTTTTTTTTTTTTTGCATGCTTACAGTTGAAAATTACGCATTACAATTTTTAATTCTCTATACTATAACCTAATCTATAAAGAAAAAGAGCAAATGTGCACATGAATTAATAGAAATATAGGACTATTTAGGGTACTCACTACTTTCTTTGGGTAGTACCTCTAATATCAAGGCCTAATGGCCAATTCAATGCATCCTTTGTGGCGGCAGAGAAACCATGACACGAGATGGGCTGATGGCACAATATGGCTGTGTGCATTGTCCTATTTGGCAAGTGCAACGATCTATAAAAACACAGGTGCTTAAAAAAAGTGGTCAAAATATGTCTTTCATTAGGGCAGTACATTATCCTATTTCAAGGCCTTAGGTCTGCTTTAACACATACTCTATGGCGGCCAAGAAACCACACAGTGAAATGGGCTGATTGAGCATTAGGTGGCTCAGTGTGCATTGTCTATGATAAGTTTCATGGTTTCTCATGCGCACACAGAAGTCTGCATATTTTTTAAATTTTTGCTTTTATTCTGAGAGAATTCTAAGAATATCATAAGAAGAAACCCAAAGCACTTATAACCTTCATTTTTGCATAATGAAAAAGTGCACCTTAAATTCATTGTCGTTTTTGACAATCACTAAACAGCTACCATGAAAACACACTTCTTGTATGATACATTTTCATTAAATTCTTCATTTAGTATTATGGAAAACTAAATAGTTGTCATGTTGTCAGTTATTGGCTGGAACAGTTATGTTTCGTGGAGCGGGTTGCTGCAGTTTGTTTTTGTTGTCATTTGTGGAGCCTGGGTTGTCTGCATAGACCGTTTTTTTTTTTTTACAGTGCGTTTAGGGGACAGGCAGCTAGCGGATAGTTAGGAGATGTTTGCTGTATGTGACAACAAAATTTTGGGCCTAAAAAATGTGTGACATCGGTTAGAGCACCTTTAAACAGTATAGAAGGCGGCCTTGCCATCCCTAATTTTCAGATTTATTACTGGGCATTCCAGATTAGAGCTATGCAAACTGGATGGACAAAGACAGTAAAGTGCCATGGAGAAACATAGAATCAGCTATCGTACATCCCCATAGACTTCAAGATCTGCCCTTCACAGGTATAGGACAACACAACTCGTACCATAAATTTGGCAAAGTTATTTCATCCACTTTAGCTGCTTGGTACAGTGCTGGAAAAACAATAGGCCATTCAAATAAATTCTCTCTCCAATCTCCTCTATGGCATAATGCTCACTTCTTGTCTGACCAACAACCTTTTGTTTACCCTTTGTGGTCATCTAAAGGGATTTTTACTTTTTCCAATATTTTTGACAGGACTGGTTTGCGCACATTCCAGGATATCCAAGCAGAATACAGCCTACCTGGCTTTTCTTTTTTCTTGTACCTGAGGTTGCGATCTGCCATGAAAGCTTATGGCGTGCCATGGAATTCTGTTTTGACTGACCACCCAATGTTTAACTGGATTAATCCTGTCAAAAATCCTAGTGGGGCGGTCTCAGTAATCTATAACTCTTTACCCAGTAGAGTTCACAAGCCTTTAAAGATACTATCAAAGTGGGATTTGGAACTTTCTCGGTTAGGATTCCATCCAGACTGGGACACAGTTTGGTCAAACCTTGGCCTTACCTCTAAAAAACTTAGTCATGTTCTTATTCATTTTAAAACTATCCATCGTTTCTATTATACACTTTACAAGCGATATTGCATGAAACATATACCCAATCCATACTGCAGTTTCTGTAACCATGGCGCATTTTTACATATGTTTTGGGACTGTCCAATGATTCAACCATTCTGGAAGTATGTGACCAGGTCTATACCTGGATTTTGGACCCATGTTTACTATTATTAAATGATGATTCAAAGTACCAATTTTCTTTACGCGAAAAAAAAAAAAATTGATGGCAGGGTTCACGGCTGCAAAGAAAGCTATTTTGCAGCAGTGGATAACCCCAGATACAAATTTGAAGCAATTTTAGATAGTCTCATTACATAGTTTGCCTTGAGTGTACAACTGCAAAGATCAATAAGGCAAAGTCAACCACTGTAAACATCTGGATGAATATAGCCTCTGCCCTTAAAGAGCTTCTTTGAATATTCTACAGTTAGCTGCCAGTGTTTAAGTTGTGTTCTGTGTGTATGGTTGTTGTTTTTTTTGTTTGTTTTTTTCCTAAATGTATCTCTATTCTCATTTCAGTATGACATGGGTTGTTTATTGATTGAAAATAAAAATCATAATCTAAAAAAAAAAAAAAAACAGTATCTTGTTTATGGAAAAGTGAGGTTATTTCATTATACTGAGAAATTGCCTTTCTTGCTGTACGGTCAGTTCGCTGGTGAACAGATTGTTTGGTACTTAAGTAATTCCATTAGAAGTTATTTATGCAAGACAATTGATATGTTAATATTTTAATCATAACCCGTTTTGATTAAGTACTGATATACAATTGAGCTAATTTTTAACCTGTCTGTAAAATATGTGTACATACACAGTGGTACTTTGTAATCCTTTGTGGTTAACTGTCTGTGTACATCTATGAATACAGATGCAGGTAATATACATAACACCCTCTTTGGGCGATTTAAAACTTAACTTACTTAAAGGAACACTCCGACTTTTTGGGACTTTAGCCTATTCACCTTACCCCCTAGAGTTAGATAAGTCCATACATACCTTTTTCATCTCCGTGCGTGCTATAAGTCTGTTTGACACACCCACCGCTAGCAGCTTAGCACAAAGACTGGATGTGAATGGTTGCAGCTTTCATACTAATCCAAATGAGTGGCAAAATAACGCAAACGTTTTTCTATTTACATGTTGTGATTTGTATTGTCGCAGAATGTACAAATAACAAAGTCAAATGAGACACAGACATTTTTTAACCGTATAAAACTTGGGAACTATTCTCTGAAGGCGAAGCACTGCTAATTTGACGGAGTAATAACCGCATCACCTGAGACACGCCGTGGTGAGGAGCGGAGAGTTCGCTCAGTGTTTGGGTTACAGAGTCAGCAATTTATAAATAGTAAAAGCGTAGTTTAGAGTCATGGGTTTTCGCTCTATTGTAAATAGCTGCGACAGTAAACAGGGGAGGTAATACCATGTTTCACAGAATTCCAACTAAAAATGCTGACTGGATGAAGAAATGGCTAACTTACTTACTCTGGAAATTGATCCAAACACACCTAAATAGATAATCAAGGGACATTATGTTTGCTCGGTACATTTCAATGAGGACGACTATTCTGAAAAAATGGAATTTGCCACACGGACCAAAATGTGCTGAAGGATACGGCCATCCCATCGATAGCACAGAAGGGACAAGTGGATCACCTGAGCGGCTGAGGTAAGTGTTCCGTTATGTTTTTAGATGACCTACTGTAACAGTGCCATTAGCCAGATCTGATGTAACGTTAGTGACACTTTTATATGATTAGGGTATGAATATGTTTTTATCTTGATGCGGTGCGGACGCGCTTGGAAAAAAAACGAGCGCGTTCACCGCGTTGAACTTGCACCCTGCGCGCGGCGCGCCTAGTAGCCTAAATTTGAAATAACCATGGAAATAACGAACTTGAGTGTGCAAAAGGGTACGATAGGCTGTGAGTTCATTGTGCAAAAACAATTTGTGCTATTACTTTCCCCTTATTCTATCCTATACTAATGCAATTATTCTGTATATTATATACTATTGAATACATTTGGTTCAGCTAATAAATTGCATTTAAAATATATTGATTCCTGTAATAATAATTATTTATTCATGTGATATTTATAAATCTGGGTGCGTTTTTGGTTGGAAATCAATGAAACATGGTACCTGGTCTCCCCTGTTTATTGTCACAGCTCATACAATAAAGCAAACACCCATGATAAACTATGCTTTTCTATCTAACGTTAGTAATTGCTGACTCTTTACTCCCACATTGAGCGAACTCTCTGCTCCTCGTCACGGTGCGTCTCAGGTGATTGTTATCACTCTGCCTTAAGTAGCAGTGCTTCGCCTTCAGAAAATATAGTATTTATACGGTTAAAAGATGTCTGTGTCTCATATGGCCTTGATATTTGTACACTCTGTGACTATACAAACCACAACATGTAAATAGGAAAATGTTTGCGTTATTTTGCCACTCATTTGGATTACTATGAAAGCTGCAACCATTCACATCCAGTCTTTGTGCTAAGCTAGGCTAGCGGTGGGTGCGTCAAACAGACTTATAGCACGCACGGAGATGAAAAAGGTATGTATGGACTTATCTAACTCTGGGGGGTAAGGTGAATAGGCTAAAGTCCCAAAAAGTCGGAGTGTTCCTTTAACTTCTCAGAGTTATAGTGTTCATTATACTAACCATTCAACTCTGGATTGATTCTGGAGGAATAAGCAGCGGCAACAATCCATCCTCCAACGCATGCTCAAGACCGTGCTCAAAGAGGAGGGGCTATTCGCGTCTCCATTGTCAGTTTGTAGGAGTGGGAGGGAAAGAGTAAGCTGCGCACAGCTCTACAATAAAATACAATTCTACCCATATTAAATAGTTTAAAAATCTGAAAATCAATCCGTGGCGGTCAGCATCGATATTGTGGCGGGTCGTCACAAACTATAAGGTATGGGAAACCCTGACATGATGTCTTTCTAATAGCACTTCATCGCGTTTTCCTTCGGGTAAACAGGTTTGTTATTTCAAACAAACTGCAACTTGACACAACGAACAAATGGATATTTGATGGAATTGAAAGTTTCCTCAGGCAGAGAAGTGACGAGCACTGAAAAAAAGCTTGTAATTTAGATCGTAACATTGACTTACCTGTTGAGAAGAAAGCAGGCAAGTTCAGCGTCTATTTTGAATGAAAGCTTTCTCCTGCATCAACTCTTTTCACCTGTAAAAAGCTATCCTGACATTAAACCGTGTTTTTTTTGCAAATTCCAGTCTTGTGGCTTCACATGAGTATGGTCCTCTATTATAAGCTTGCCGTCTCTCAAATATTTTTGTCCGGTTCAGCTGCTTTTAGTCACGTGACGCTGGCTCTGAACGAAAATGACTTGTGGAAATGCGCTGGCATAGTACTTTTTGTCCCTCTCTACTATTATAGTTTATCAAGATGGCGGAACGACATAGAAGCCTCTGTGGACCTACCCGTCTCATGTATATAAAGATAATAAATTCTTCGTTTACAAGGACAAGTCAGATTATTGGCAGAGGTATTTGTACACCATTGAGGACATATTTATGAATAAAAATATTTATTTTAGATAATAAAATATTTAAAAAACTACACATTGTCCCTTTAAGCATTTCTCTCACAACATTATGGTGGGCAAAATAAGGGTCTCTTTTAGAAAACGAATATACATACTACCTTGTCTCATCATCATGAGTTGATGCTCATGTTTGGCAGCCTCCATTTCAGCCTCCAATTTCTCTTTTGCCTCCTGTATGTTCCGTTCAACTTGTTCCTTCTGCTGTTTCTCCATCTCATCCAGAGCCTTCCAGCGAGATGAGTACTCAAACTCAAAGGTGCCAGGCTGTGCAAAGCGTGGCTGATGCTCCCGTTCCCTGTATTGCAGATTTTTGTGGTTACCGGTAATTTAAAACGGTTTTTCTTTAGATATATTATATGCATATGGAATACAATTAATCTCAACTACACAGAAGAAAATTATAAAATGCAACGTTTTTGTTTTTGCCCCCATTTTTCATGAGCTGATCTCAAAGATCTAAGACTTTTTCTGTGTACCCAAAACGCCTATTTCTCTCAAACTGTTCAAAAATCTGTCTAAATCTGTGTTAGTGAGCATTTCTCCTTTGCTGAGATAATCCATTCACCTCACAGGTGTGGCATATCAAGATGCTGATTAGACAGTATGATTATTGCACAGGTGTGCCATAGGCTGGCCACAATAAAAGGCTACTCTAAAATATGCAGTTTTATCACACAGCACAATGCCGCAAGTTGAGGGAGCGTGCAATTGGCATGCTGACTGCAGGAATGTTCACCAGAGCTGTTGATCATGAATTGATTGTTCATTTCTCTACCATAAGCTGTCTCCAAAGGCGTTTTAGAGAATTTGGCAGTACATCCAAAAGGCCTTACAACTGCAGACCACGTGTAACCACACCAGCCCAGGACCTCCACATGCAGCATCTTTATCTCCAAGATCGCCTGAGACCAGCCACCCTGACAGCTGCTGTACCAATCGATTTGCATAACCAAACAATTTCTGCACAAACTGTCATAAACCGTCTCAGGGAAGCTCAGCTGCATGCTCGTCATCCTCATCAGGGTCTCTACCTGACTGCAGTTCTTCGTCATCGTAACAGACTTGAATGGGCAAATGCTCTCATTCGATGGTATCTGGCACTTTGGAGAGGTGTTCTTCACGGATGAATCCCGGTTTTCGCTGTACAGGGCAGATGGCAGACAGCGTGTATGGCGTGGCGTGGGTCAGCGGTTTGCTGATGTCGACTTTGTGAATCGAGTGGCCCACGGTGGCGATGGGGTTATAGTATGGGCAGGCATATGTTATGGACAACGAACACAGATGGATTTTATTGATGACATTTTGAATGCACAGAAATACTGTGATGAGATCCTGAGGCCCATTGTTGGGCCATTCATCCACGACCATCACCTTATGTTGCAGCATGATGATAATGCACAGCCCCATGTTCCAATGATCTGTACACAATGAAAACATCCTAGTTCTTGCATGGCCAGCATAAATGTCACCCATTAAGCATGTTTGAGATGCTCTGGATCGGCGTAGATGACAGCGTGTTCCAGTTCCTGCCAATATCCAGAAATTGAAGAGGAGTGAACCAACATTCCATAGGACACAATCATGATCAACTCTATGCAAAGGAAATGTGTTGCACTGCGTGAGACAAATGGTGGTCACACCAGATACTGAAAGGTTTTCAATTTGTGAACAATATTAGAAAGAAATAGGCCTTTTGTGTACATAGAAAAAGTCTTAGATCTTTGAGTTCAGCTGAAAAATGGGGGCAAAAACAAAAGTGTTGCATTTATAATTTTGTTCAGTGTATCTAAATTCATACTTGTGATACTGTGCTGATTTTTGCAACAGTTTTTCTGGTAGACCATCTTCATCATCAAACTGTTCTGTTGGCTCAAGAATGACTGGACGAGGGGACCTGAAGGACAAAAATGAAGGAGTGTGAAAAAATTCCATGTGAAAACGCTTACTTGACTTAACATATTTTATATCTACAGACAGGTCAATCACTGATAAACACAGATCATACTGTGAAAATGAAAAGTTATTACATTGTAAGCAAAAGGGCTCCATCTGCACAGCGGTCCAAGGCTTTTCGAGCAGCAGGCTTATTGGCAAACTCCACAATTCCCTTGCCTGTGGGTCGTCCTCGGTCATCAACCACCACGACTGCCCGCTCAACTGGGCCGAACTGTGAGAAGGACTGTTCAAGAAGCTCATTAGACACCACTGGTGAGAGGTTTCGTACTGTGAGTGCAGCCCCATGGGTGGCAAAACGAATCCGGATGGGCCTGTTCCCCAGCACCGTGCCGTCCAGCTCAGCCTTAGCAATCTCTGCAAGTGTCCTTGTCTCCTGAATAATCAAAACAGTAACAATTGAAAATATGGATGCTTAAATACTACAAACGGTCTATTTACAAACTGAAGTGAACACAATTAGTAAACTTCTTCATGGTTTTCTTTTTATGGCAAGTGTCCAGAAATTAAAATCCAGTTCAGTCCATAAATCTACAAACTTACAAAAATACAGATCAATCTTTCTGTTTACTTTTTATTTAGATATAATACAAACAATTAAACATTTTGTTCCAAAAGTTTCTAATGATTATAATGAATATTGTGAAGATGATATTTCCAAAGCTGAGATCTCTAAAGCTCTGTTTTCAATGAAGAAAGGAAAATCCCCTGGACCAGATGGGTTAACTGTTGAATTTTACTGTTCCTTTTGGGAGCTCATAGAAAACCCTTTATTTAGCATGTATAAGGAATGTTTAGAACAAAAAGAAATGAGTGCAACAATGAAACAAGGTATTATCAGTTTAATTCCAAAACCAGACAAAGACCTCTTGATCATTGACAACTGGAGACCAATAACTTTATTAAACATTGATTACAAAATTTTAGCCTTCGTTTATGCTACTAGATTAAAAAGTGGTTAAATAAAATAATTGGTAAATCTCAAACTGGTTTTATGGCAAACTGTCATATTAGTTCAAACATTAGGCTTATATTGGACCTGTTAGATTATAATCAATTTGTTAATTCAGATGACTTTTACACAGTTGATCGCCATTTTTTTGTTACAGAGCTTACATGCATTTGGTTTTGGAAATAAATTCATTCAGGCTGTTGAAATGTTTTACAAAGGCATTAATAGTTCTGTTATATTGCAGAACAATACTTCTAGAAGATTCTTCATCAACAGAGGAGTGAGGCAGGGTTGCCCAATTTCCCCATTTTTGTTTTTAATTGTTGTTGAATTATTAGCGATTAGTATAATTAAAAATCCAAATTTACATGGTATAACTTCATTTAATTGAGAAATAAAAATGTTGCAATTGGCTGATGATACAACTTTATTTCTAAAAGATAAGACTCAAATTAAGAATGCAATAGAATTAATTCAAACTTTTTCTGATGCCTCAGGTCTCCAGTTAAATATTACAAAGTGTGAAATTCTCCCAGTGCATGATTCTGCTGATCAATCAATGTTCAACATCCAGTGAAAGATTGTGTTAAATATTTAGGAATTTATATATCAAAAAATTTGATAATTAGACAGCAACTCAATTTTAATAACAAGATTAAATTGGTTAAGAAGGGATTTATCCATTTTAAGCAGGTTTATCCAGATTTGTTTTTCCTCCTCTGTCTTTATTTGTTCAAGATTCTACTGGTAAAGAAATTAATCGATTATTGGTTGATTTTTGTTGGAAAAATAAGCACCACCATCTTAAAAAAAAAGTTTTGGTAGGAAAGAAATCTGAAGGAGGTTTTAAAATGCTAGATTATAATACTTTTAAAATTAATTGGATCAAAAGGTGTGTTATAGATACTGATTCGATTTGGTCATTTATTCCCCAAAATATTTTTAAGAGGGTTGGTGGTCTTAAATTTCTTTTAACTTGCAATTTTGTACCTTCTAAATGACCTATAAAACTGGCCAAATTTCATGAGCAATCTTGGCCTGGAAATTGAGCATTGTGCATAATTTGTCTCCTCACAGAATGAAAATATGGAACAACGAATTGATTACAGTTAAGAGTTTATTTTTTGAGAAATGGTTGGATCATGGTTCAGTGTACTTAAGTGATTTATTTGATTCATCTTTAAAAATTCTCTCTTACGATTCTTTTTTGTCCAAATTCAATTTTCCTATAAAATTTAAAGAATTTTCTGTAGTAATTAAAGCTGATCCCTCTGGGCTTATTAATTTAATGTGCACCCATATGACTTATTATAAAGTTGAAAATAAAGATTAAGATCACCTTATAAATGGTAAATATATTTTTGATAAACAATGTACTAACAAAGATATAAGACAACTACTACAACTACAACTACGAACAAAAGGGAGTTATTCCAAAAGGGAAATTTTACTGGAATTCCATTTTAGGAGATGTTAATTGGAGGAAAGCTTGGCTGCTTCCTTACAAATTCTGTATTTCTAACAAAGTAAGAGAAATTCACCCGAAGATCTTACACAAAATATATCCAACTTTTCCAACCTAAGTGCACTGTAACGGCAGTCAAACCCGTGACTTCCCACCCGTGAATTCGTACTAGATCCTTTTTTATAATTATTATTTATTTATTTATATATATATTTTTTTTTATCGAACTTGTAAAAACAGTACAAAAACATAAAACAAAACAGGCATGAGTAACAAACTCCAAAGATGATTAAATCAAATAATTAATAAAATAAGAGACAAGACGGCAAATACAGATTCATAATATTTTACAATATAGCTTTCGAGTTTTTTACAATTTTAAGAGACTTCATTAACAGAGTGAGTTCGTTAGAAAAAACCTTATAAGGGAGGGGATTTTGACAATCTACATTTATGGATGAAAAACTTGCCATTTAAGATGATAAAATTTACAAAATTCTGAATATTTTTATCATCATTCTCAAAGTAGCAAATAATTTCTTTCACATTCAGTTATCAGATTAACTTTAACTGAAAAAGTAGAAAAACACTATTTTCATAGACTCCTCACTGTTGTTAAAAAAAGAACATTCTTTACCAATATCCATAAAATTAGAAAGCCACATATTACAGGTTGCCTGGAACACATTAGTTTTTGGACCCCTCAGTAATTTGTGGGAGGCTCCACTTCGTGTCTGAATGTGGTAGTACATTCAAGGTTTTGATTATTTGTTAAGTGTAATTTTGATGTATACGCTTAATCATATATTAACCTAGAAAAAATAGACATAAGATATTTTTAATCCATAGACGCAACTACTTATGAACCATTCTATGAAAAAAAAAAAAAAAAACCAATAGACCACTTTTCCCCCATACAAGATGTGTAGAGCAGAGACTCACCAGGCGTATGAAGCCGAATCCTCGATCTCTGTTGATGAAAACCTCATTTGCCTCGCCATATTTGGAGAAAAGCTTCTTGAAATCTTCCTCCGTCATATCTGATGGGAGATTACCAACAAACAGTCTGCACCGCTGAGTGAATGTTTTCTCCCCGGGTCTCCTGAAGTTCTTGGGGTCTAAAGCCATCTCTTGAGGCGCAGTGTTTGCAGGACTAGAGTCCCGCGGTGATGGAGCAGCCGCCTCCATCTTTTCGCTGGGATCTGGGGAAGATTCCGCGCTGTGCTTCACATTCTGCGGGTGCGGGGATGTAACGTTAGCATTGTTTTGAATATTCACCTGTTTTAGGTTACGGTTTGCCATTGCGCTGCAGCCTTAACTATGACTTATACAACACTGGCTCGATTTTTATTTTATATTAATCGAAAAAGAGACGTTGTATTATTGTCTATTATTTGTATAGGCTATACTATTATTTTAACCTATACTCAAATTAACTTAAAGAAGATGACTCCAGCGCTGCATCATATTCTTCTTCTTGCGGCGGCTTGCAGACACATAAGTGCATTACCGCCACCTATCACCCAAATGGACCATTGTCACTCCACACTCTCCCAGAACCATGGCTCTGCACTGTCTCCTACCATACTTCAACCTTGATTCAATCTTAACACACACCCATTATATTACCCAGAGGCTTCATATAGAGCTTCATCCTGCGTGTTCATCTCCTCCATTCAAAATCAAAATAAAAAAAATAAAAATAAATTCTTAACCTACTACTTACGCTTGGCTTGTGCAATCCTTCCCAAATATTGTAAAATTAATGGTGTTACCTGGTTTTAGTGATTTTTTATTGTAAACTGCTCACCCTTCCCTACGGAAGCCCCGTACTACGGAAGCCCTTAACCGCAACCTAAAAAAAAAAAAAAGTCAGTAAAAAAAAAAAAAAAAAAAAATTCTGTAATTTTTTTTTTAAAAATTGTATTTCGAGATTAAAGTCGAAATGTTTCGAGATTAAAGTCGAAACATTGTGGATTCATAACAGTGCGTGTCCACTGGCTCAGAGCGCGCGCGCGTGTGTGTGTGTGTGTGTGTGTGTGAAGTCGAACTGCCATGGATAAACCCAAAATAGTAGCTTTTTACTTTTATCTGGGCTTTCAACAAAATTCTACACACGTTACACGTGCTAGTGGCAGTGTTTCTGAGGTGTTTTCGTGCTCGTCTAGTCAACACTATCTGGGTCGAGAATACAACAGTAACTGTTCGGTATCCTCTTCACCGTAAATGCTCTCTTGGATACATTTTAAGTGCATCATTCTGTATCCAATCATTTGGCCGGGTACTTGATGGCTTTAATTGTTTTATACTTGTGCCTATGCCTATTATTTCTGACAGGAGTCCACAGAAAGGCCTACAGAAGAGTCTGCACACAGCAGTGATACAGGGGTGGCCAGTGTAGAGACAACTTTTCCTTTTTATTTGTTGCATGAGGCATGTGTGACACAAACGACACAGGGTGAAATTCGTTCCCTATATGAGTCTTCAACAGAAAATAGAGTTTTTTGAAAAAAAAAAAAAAAAAATCAGGGGGAGAAATAGAACTTGACTAAGAAAAAATTGCACTAGAAATAGAGTTGCTTCAAAATAAACTTCAGAGTAAAATACCCTATTTCACACACTATCGAGTACTATTGCTGACCTTGCATAATATCTTTTAAAAAGAAGACTGAATAACTGGCTTTTCTTTACAAAGAACTATATTGAAATAAAACTCTAAGTTTTGCAAATTTGTCTTGTCTTTATTTTAGCCTTAATTAAACTTTTTTTTTTCTGATGTTGGCAGTGTTGTGTAATATGGCACATGCAATGTCACAGGCCCTGTCAGGTGCAACCCTCAGGCTTTTCAGACCCTGAAATCTTCCCTTTAGTTGGTCAAAGGTCATGTCATTGTGTGCCCTTGTCCTAGAGCTGCATTGTAACTGGTCTGGGGTTTGGGTCAGGGAATGGGGTCATAAAACACCTGTCTCCATGCAGGATCCTGTTGTAATCACCTGTATAAAGGAAAAAATGCAGTTCTCAGCATAAGTGTATATATAATACCGTGAGTTTGATATTTATAATTTTCCTTACCAAGTTCAAATAATGTTCATAAATGTGAATCTTTTACAATTCTTGAGTCATGCACAGATCCTGGCCATTTTGCTTTCACACTGATTTGTGATATGGAACATGGTCACACACACCAAAGAGATTTTACTCAGTCAACTCAACTGCCTTTTAAAAAAAGTGATATAATATTCCTAATCTGGAATATTAAAAATTGTAATAGTAAATTGGCTGCACATTTACATAAGCCCCCTTTCTGCTCACAAAATCCCTTCAATGAGGCATTTTATGGGAACATGTGTGCAGTCTACAGTGTATGGCACCAATCACGTAAATTAAGCCTGAGGGACTGTAAATCATAATCGGCATGGTCATCATGATTGCATTATCTTTATTAAAAATTATAATATACCCTAAGTTGGCCAAAAAAAACAAAAACAAAAAAAAAACTAAGAGCGCTATAGGTAAACTTTGTGAATGGCACGACAGAAAGCTTATTAAGTTCTCCGCATCTCCAATAGTGTAACGGAAGCCACTCGCAAATAATTTTATGGCAATGCAAACATTTTGTGCTGTTGTTGAAGCCCCATAGACATAGGGCCTATACACTAGACCTCACCTTGGGGTTCTAAGCATGCGTCAAAACTGCCGCCATCTTGGAACAGGGGTCTTGTCATAGGAAGTAGCTAGGTAACGCTGCTATCTCAGCCTTTACTTCGAATTCATTGATGGTGGCGGACTTTTGTGCAGCATATGATGTTCACGGATGAAATCTTTTTTAATGAATGAATGTTTTAAAAAAAAAAATTCTTTCTGGAATCAATGATAAATACATGTCTAACCGTTGGAACAAACCAAAAAAACAAGAAAAATCGCATTCATGATGATTTATGGTGATTTTATTTCCGTTAGACCTGTGTCTACTACATTGATGCTGATGCATTAAAGTGGAGGGGCTCCCCTGTTTCAAGATGGCGGCTCTATTGACGCATTCGTTCCAATGAACTGCCGTAGCCAAGGTGACGTCTAGTGTATATGTCTATGTTAAAGCCCGACATCGAATCGAACACTAAAGGAATTCCCGTATCAGCCGCGATCAATCCTGTTTACATGAAATATGCCTGCTCGCGAGCAGGTTCAAATTGACGGACCTGTTGCTATGACAGGTCAAAAGTTACCTGAATATTACCAAATATTACCGCCGTTTTTCCCGCCGTTGGCTAGTGATGTACACAAACAAACAGCAAAGCAGAATTAAAATGAGACATGTGTTGCTTTATTGTTGTGAATACATTACATTGTAGTGTATGTAGAGTAATCCCTTAGGCATGGGCGATAAAGCCTGGCTGTATAATAATTCTCGTTATATTTGGGCACTGCAGACGGCGGGGGTAACGTTACTACGCAATACCAGCAAGAACACATCGTCTTAAACTGTCAGCAGCGTTCTGTGTGGTCACCTCGTGAGTTCGTTCTTCCAAGAACAACTACTAGCAAGAGCTTTCTTCCCAAGAACACAAGTCCGTTTTTTGCATTCTTGGTTTTGAGAAACGGCCTACCTCTTTTCGTCGGACCATCTGTTTGGTCCGGACCGTGTTGTTCCGGGGGAAGTTTCACACCTCTAATTTTGATTCGGACCAAACTGAAAAGTCGGAAAGTCCGGACCAAACAAGGTAGGTGTGAAAGGGCCCGAAGTTTCCTGAGCTTAACCCTTGTCCTTCCCTCACGTTTTGTAGCACACATTTTCCCTTAAATTATACCCTTTTTTTGTCCAGGAAGCTTATTTTATTTATTTTAGATAATATATTTTTTTTCTATTTTAAATAAATAAATGGTAATTTAGGCACATTCCTCACATTCTTTTAACTTAAATTCAAAATAATAGGCTACATTTTCATGCATAACCCTTTTAATTCAGCTCAAGATATCTTACGTTGCCGACCTCTTATGGAGAAAAAAAATAATATAACATGGTATTTCAAGACTCCAGCCAGTAAATTATATTTAGTGTATTTATATTTATTATAATTACACCAGCCTTATATTTTTTAAATTTCAACCACAAAACTTGAATCCATTCCTTTACTTTTTGTGTATTCGTGATTCAAGTGCAACAAAAGTCCTAGTCTCTGATAAACACTAAAACATTTTTAAAAGGTTAAAAGAGCAACAAAATATGGCAAGACAATAAAACGTTCTTCTACCACAATCTCTGTTTTGACTCTTTTTCTCTCAAATATTTATTGCATGTAATATATGTTTCATTGCATATAGGCTACATGTCTCATTTGTGTCTATTTTTATTTCTCCAAAGGGATTTTATTAGAAACATTTGAAATGTTGTTCATACTAAAATGAGAAATACATGAGAATCAAGTCTCCCAAGCTTAAAGGGTTAGTTCACCCAAAAATGAAAATTCTGTCAGTATTTACTGTTGTATTAACCTTAATCAGTATCAACCTCATGTTGTTCCAACCCCGTAAGACCTTCGTTCATCTTCGGAACACAAATTAAGATATTTAAGATATTAAGATCGCTCCTGCATCCATAGGCTTCTTGAGGGAATGACTTTCTGTCCTCGACAAGTCATTAAAGACATCGTTAAAATAGTCCAAGTGACTACAGGAGCTCAATCTTAAGTTTATCAAATGACGAGAACACTTTTGTGTGCAAAAAAACAACAAAAATAACGACTTTATTTCAACTATTCGTTTATTTCTCCCTCTGCGCGAGTCAGGTTACTAGTTTAATAGCGTAAGCTTCTGTTATTGTACGTCACATGCATCACACACATGACCAGCGGCGGCCAATAGTGAGCCTACGTGTGACGTCCCTTTTCGCAATCACACTATGTTAGCTGACTACAGGCCGTGAATAGTTGAAATAAAGTCGTTATTTTTGTGCACAAATAGTGTTCTCGTCGTTTGATAAAGTTAAAATTGAGCCACTGTAGTCACTTGGACTATTTTAACGATGTCTTTAATGACATTTTCGATGCCAGCAAGAGTCATTCCCTCAAGAAGCCTATGGACTAGTACGCAGGAGCGATCTTAATATCTTAAATATCTTAATTTGTGTTCCGAAGATGAACGAAGGTCTTACGGGGTTGGAATAGAACAACATGAGGGTGAGTAAATACTGACAGAATTTTCATTTTTGGGCGAACTAACCCTTTAAGAAAATCAACCACTGAGCGATACATTTTTTTCTCTGGGCTTGGAAAAAATCCCACTGATAAAGGGTTCAACTCAAAAACGTTTTGCTCACTTTGCACCTTTTGCACTTTATTTGTGGCCTTTGGACAATAAACTTGAGTTTTTTGGCCTATTTTTTTCATGAGCTTCTTTTGTCCTTTTTGAATTTTGAGTTACCTTGGACAACCCTGAAGTTTGTTCATTCATCTGGTTTGGACTAGTGCTTGGAGCAACGCTTTTCCATTCTCTTTAAAAGTTTTGTAT